CGTTTGTAAAAAGGAAATTATGGGGAGACCAACAAGTTATTTAATTTGCCAAAAGGATGGTTAAACTCTCTGAATTGATCAGAATGACCTTAGTGATCAGAATGATCAATTAAAAGAGTTTAACCATCCTTTTGGCAACGCTAATGACATTTGAAAAGCCATTTGACAGCTGATTAGTTAATTTCTACTATGATCAGTGTTTCAGAAACCGGGAGTAAATGTCTAAATATGGTGTATGCTGTGATGCGGTGACAGGCTCGTCATCCGTTACGTCACCTCGACGAGAGGAATTGAAAATTTGAGTGGACAACATCCAGAACTATCCCCCTAGACCAGAGTCCAATTCTTGAAGATGCCCTTGTTAGCAAACACGATGTAATCGTATATTGTATGTCATATAAGTAATATATTATTATCGGTTGAAAACTATACGTAATTAAAACTTAATCTGTTTATATGCTATAGCCATAATATCCAAAGCCATTCGTTTGCCCTTACGGCTTCCCATTGCTCCGTACGAGATTCCGATAAAAAGTTGATGAACAGAAAGACAAGTGCACTTCAAGTTATACAGAGTATAATTTATAAATACAGTTAATGTGATTTGAGTGTTCATTCACGAATACTGCGGCAATGGAGGAAAACGTAACTACCTACTAAAATTATTACCCATTGACGTGTAAAGTTCCCAATCTGGAATGTCCACTAATGGCGAAGTGTATGACTCTAACGAAGACTGTAATTAGACTCTTCACTTAATGTACGCTTAGGATTTGTTAAGTAAAAGTGTTCCTAAGAAATTTAATTTCTAATTTTAGTGTCTTCTTCGTCTCCGCGCTTATTACGAAACTTAAGGATATATCTACGCATTTTATAACATTAACTTTACCCCTACCATCCTTTTTAGCCTTAAAGTCTAACGTAAGACCAGTGAACGATTAAAAAACAAAAGTATTGTTTTGCTATTACATCTACAGTAATACAAACGCCCGATCCCGTTGAATTGCGGGGTTAAATATAGACTGGAAGGAGGACTCGACCCAAATTGCTTACGACGCGCCTCTCTTGCAGGGCGCCGCGTTTCACGGTGAAAGTGGTTTCAGCAACGGGCTTTATGCGTTTTCGAGTTCACTTACGTTGTTTCCCTTCCATTCTCTTTTTAGGGTTCCGTGCCCAATGGGTGAAATGCGACCCTATTACTAAGACTTCGCTGGCTGGCTGTATGTCTGTCCATCTATATGTCACCAGGCTGTGCTGTATCCCATGAACCGTGATAGACAGTTGAAATTTTTTACAGATGATGTATTTCTGTTGCCGCTGCGTTTGACCTGATTATAAGTGATAACCGCCGCCCATGGACATTTGCAACACTCGTAGGGTTGCAGTTGGGTTGCCACCTTTTAATAAGGTGCACCCCGGCTACCTCACTCACCAGACGAAACGCATAAGTATAATAAAAATTAAAGTATATTAAAAAAAAAAAAAAACTCCTCCTCCTCCGGTACTGTATCCGGGTACTGTATATTAAGGCGAGCAAACAACTCAATAACTGGAAAGTATCATTCATCTTACACTTAAAGTTGCCAACCGTCTGTGAAGTCTTGGTACTTCCCTAGACGGACCTGCCCATTCGATACATTCTAAAATGTATTCTGCATAATTAATGAAGTCGGAACCACGGGTGGTATAGTGTTAGTTTTACGATTGAAGGAGATACTCTTTCTTCACTTCTTACTTATTACTCAAGATATTGTTAAAAAGGGCTTCTTTTAAAAAAACTCGACTGCTCGTAACGTTTATGAGTAATAATGAACCTCCGGAGATATATTGTTTCATTGTGACGGTCTAAATTCTATTCTAGTCGGTCTATCAACACGAATATCTCATTTTCTACACGCAAATGATTCGGTTCACTATTATGAATCTGTAAATCACTATTACGTAATTCCCTCGTACTATTTAATTTCGCTCGTACCGTTCCGTAGTACGTGTGAAATACGTGGAAACCCTTGAAGCCAAAATAACGTGACCCTAGATAACGTAACAGCGCGGCAGTAAAACGATTTATATTTGGACGTAGGTCGACCATTGGCTATTATTTCAAAAATTTTTATCCATAATATTCAAACACAAATATATTTTTTTACTTAAAAAACATTACCCTTACTTTAGGATAAAATTATCTTAATATACATAAAGTTCACGCGGACGAACACCCAGACGCGAAACAATTATCAGTTGGTCACACAAATAGTTGTCCCATGTGGGAATCAAATCGAAACTTCACCACGGAGTCACCATATCGTCTGTTGGGTTTCGAATCCGAGACTACACATGGCATGTCCCCAAAGCATTCGACAAGCCGCTTGCGCATCGTGGGGACGTGTTATTTACGAACGCCGGGTCATCACCGCGGACTGATAAAAACCGTTATCACTTCGCACTTTGCACGTCCGTGACGATAAGCCCCGACGTCGCCGAGAGCGCAGCATCCGTCGAGAGAAATAGCTTATCTGCTCACGTAACTAGCCCCGTGCAGTTTTTAAAACATTCCTACTGTAATAACAGTGCATACAAAAATATTGTTTTAAGGGATTGCATATTTTTTTGGAAAGTCAAAATAATTAACAGCCTACGTTATTTGCCCAACTGCTGGGCAAAGGCATTCTTTTTACAGAGGGTATTAGGAATGTATTTCAAAGCACAAAATACTCAGTGTGGCTTTGCTCAAACTATATATGGAAATCCAATTTTTTTTTCACAATTTTACGTACACATGTCTATAGAAGTACTACCAAATCACCTCTAAGTACCCGTAACGGACTGGTAAGTGTTAGTATTTGGAATCGGAGGAGACACTAGCGATTTGCAAGGGTCGTGGAAAATGGCCAGGCATGAGTGCATGTGTATATAAACGTCTGTTACACAAGTTGTTGGCTCATGCAGGTATAAACAGCGTAACGGAGGCTTATTGGTCGGAACGGAAGTAGCGTTGTTTCGCTGAGATGTCGCAACGCTTACTAGAAGTATCGCTTGAATTACCACAATACATGTTCGGTTCAAATTCAGATGCATTAATTTGTTTTTGCAATGTATTGTGTTGGCTTGTTTCATTGTCTTGATGATGGACATAAAGAGTATTGCAGAAAATAAGAATGGTTTATATCGATAGACAAATTGGACGGTAAATATTTAGAGGGGGGTTAGTAGTCTTTCACGTACGTGTTAACTCTTAGATTCCCTACACGTGCCCCCTGGGTGGTGGTAATTGAAAGACAACGCCGAGCATCGGGCGGCGGTTAAGTAACCCTATTATGTAGGCTGCCACAAGCCCAGAAAAATGGAAATATTTTCTGAAAGTCCGGAGCACGCTAAGACCGCCACGTGTGGACGTGGCGACCATCGAGCTCAATACCTCCAATAATTCATGACCGGTAAATAGGAGAGGCGTATGCCCAACGGTGGGAGAACATACGCTGAAGAAGAAGAAGAAGAAATATTTTGAGATTTTAAAAGTCCAAAATTGCAAAGTACACCATGATTTTATTTCTACGAGTAAGTTGAACACCAATAAAGGATCTTTCTTATAATAGGACTAAGATTAAAAAACAATTCGGGACTGAACCCAGAACCTTGCGAGTATGAATATTCTACGTGCCAGGTCGCAAGGCCATAGCGCATAATTCCAAGGCAGAAACCGCCTCATCAGTGCTCAGTGTCACTACAAAACCTGCAGAGGTCAATGGAGACGCGGGAGACCGGAAACATGTGTTTACTCCGAATGTAGTGCAAGGAATTATCGACCTTAATACAACGCAATAGCAACCGATAAATAGATTAATTCTAAATTGAAAGCCAAATTAGCTAAATTAATTCATGCGCTTAAATTTAAAGTCAAACACGATGAATATGAATGTAATGGATGAAGGATATAATAAATGTATGTAATAGAAAAAGCAAACATTTGCTGTGAACCGAACATAGCTAATAGCATGAAAATCATTATCGTGAAGGTTGTTTATTTGAATAACCAAATAGGATGAAGTTATAAATCGACGCAATATATCTATAACGCCATTTTGACACATTACCAATGCATTCGGCAAGATTATTTACATTATAGATTAGCATTTGCACTTTATCTTTTACTTTGTCTCTATTTTCAAATGTAAATGATGCGGAAACAGAAGCGGGGTCGAAGAAGGTTATAGAATAATTGATTTGCCATCTTCTCGATCAAAATAAGGATAAATGTGAATTGAGAAATGCCTCAATAAAATACCACGACAATATGAAGGAAAATTTAACGCTAATCGGGAAATTTGATAAAAAAGAAATGGGAAATACCATCTATATAAAAGACGATTGGATGCAATTAATATATTAAATATATCTGGACTATGAGGTGGAACACAGGCGTGGTACATATCCAAGAGTAATCTCTTGAGATGAACTGCATCTGAACTTGCCACGAAATAACAGAGAAATTCTCGAATAAGCCGTTGTCACGAGAAGACAATGGCTTCCGCTCACTAAAACAGGTGGTTTATAGAACAGTGGTAGAATGTGCCGACCCGTCGAAATCATCTCATCACTCTGTCAGTGAATACATGAACTGACAGAAAACGCTAAACTAGGTTTAATTGAGAGCTTATGTTATCAGCGAACCGCACAGAGTCATTTATTTACGTTTACTAATGTATACGACTTCTAAGATCGTCAAATATTCGCATTTATCCGAATCACAAGAACACAAACATCTCCCCATAAAAGAACACGCCAAAACGCAGACTGTGAGTAAATACGGTAACTAACATTTTATCTGATGGTAAACAAAGCGAAACTTATAAAACCATAGATAGATATGTGTACTAAGACGAGCAAACAACTCAATAACTGGTAACTATCATTTATCTAACAATCAATGTTGCCAACAATTATCACGACTGAAAGACTGTCAATATTACCATAAATTTTAAGATGTCTCCAGGAAAGTGCAAATGGGGGGTACTGTGGGCCGTCCGTCAAGTTATTGACCCGCATTGACGTAACCGTGTGAATCACAATGGGGGCAAGACGTGACACGTGGTGCGATGGGAGCGGAAAATCTAATATAACCTCCAAGTGCATCTCATAATGGAAGCGGAGGGCGGTAGAATTAAAACTCTTTGCCGTCAATATGGTTTTTACGCTTAACAGTAGGCTCGACATTATCGTTTATGTGAGTAACGCATACACGTGTTCTGCTGCTGGTCAAAGGCCTCAAAATGTTTTTTTTTTTAAATTGTTATTACGAAAACATGCCGATTTGTTTTCTCGCGACATTTTCCTTCACTGATGAGCATGTATAATACCCGCTATATTATAAAGGGACAATAAATGTGGAATATTTTTTACTACTGTTAACAGTTAACTTTACAAAAAAGAACTCAATTGTGTACTGAAAGTCATGATATTATTCATACGGTTGAGATTGATTGTTTATAAGAGTGGAGCAACTTAAGCCATTAGATTAGATATAATTATAGATACAACAAGATTTAATTTGGCTTTATAATATTGTGTTGTTTTCGAAACGTAACAACCTCCACCCGATCGAGATTGTTCTCTTACTAAAAAAAAGCAGTAAATGGGTAAATAACATTGAGCGGGGACAGATTTCAAGTCCAAACAACAAGTACCACGTGAAAAAAGTAAATAATGACGGTTAAAATAATCCGAGAGTCCTTCAAGCATTGTAGTATGATAAATTTCACAAGTACACTTTTATGGCACAAACAGAATCCTTAATATAGCGATCTCGGAGCATTAGAATTAACCTTGACAGGTCAACTTCAAAAACAGTTTACCGTCAATCTTTTCGACATGATAATGTAAAGGTAAATATCAGTATTGCGTTACGCAAAGCGGTCGCCTGTTAAACCGCACTAGCACAGTTGTAATTACGTAAAACCGATGCTAACTAAGAGGGGCAACAACGTACCACGTAACTGTCCGGTTAAAGTTTGTAAAATCACGTGTTACGAACGAGACGGTGCGTAGAATTAGAAAAAATAAAAAGAAAAAGTAATAAACCAGCTTACCGATTCGCTTCTAGGTGAAAACTGTTCGGTGTTGCACAATTACGGATTTTCACTGGCCACTGTGTTGGGGCGATTGGGGAAAGAAAAGAAAAAGTGTTCTATTTTCGAATTCGCGGTGGGCGCGGTGGCCGTGCAGTCTGCACGGCGCTGTGTCGGTGACTGGGCGTCGGTGAGCGCCGTCGCCGGCCGCCGAGCGCTCGGCACGTTCCCGCCACTCGGCGCCGCGGCCGTGATTCCGAGTGCGTCTGCCCCGCGTCTAGGGCTAACGCGTCCCGGTGAAAACAAACAACGCAGCGGATACGCCGGTGGGAAAATGGTTGCCGAGTTCGAACTTCGAATGTACTCGGGTCATGAATATTCAATATTAATACTCTCGTGACAACAAAACATTTACAAAGATTTAGCATTTATTAAACACTCGAATAGATTATATTAATTATACAGAAGTATATAAATTATATACCGTCTCGGCATTAATTTTATGTAAACTAAATATGTCTGTCTGGAGTAGTTACTTCTTTGCTAGTTCTTTCCTATGGAGGCGTTAAAATTAAAAACTTTACTTTTCTACCTAGATGGCAGCCCTAGCGGACGGTAGCGGACGCGAACAGAAATAGTCAGTTGCTTGGTGCAAGTGCACGCTTGCCGCGAAACGCGGTATTCGGACTGGGATTCCGCTGAAAGGAGCGGCCCGTCGTGACGGTGCTAAGTTACGGCAGGTCACGGACCGCCACGGACTAACGCCCGGTTTCTGAAACACTGATCATCGTTGAAGTTAACTAATCAGCCGTCAAATGGCTTTTCAGATGTTATTTAAGTTGGCAAAAGGATGGTTAAACTCTGAATTGATCATTCTGATCATTAAGAAGATCATTCTGATCAATTCAGAGAGTTTAACCATCGTTTTGAAAAGTCATTTGACAGCTGATGATTAGTTAACTTCTACGATGATCAGTGTTTCAGAAACCGGGCATAAGTCAATTACTATCAACTGGGCGCTGCACCTGGGCGTCGATGACAGAAAATATAAGACCATTATCTTAGAGATCACTATGCTACGTACGTGCAGGGTCAAACTGATAGCATCGCAGTTAAAAATAGTTCAACTATACTATTCGTACGACACTGAGCCCCTATCTGCTGATAAGGGACGAGCACGATTCACAACACTTATCTAGGATCCGGCTGCTCTCTGAACAGATAAATAGATACACGAGGCACCAGTCATGCATTCAAAGCAGTTTGTTTTGTCTGCGGCGTATAAGCGATACGAGATACTATAGTAATTAGGCGTGAAGACATCGTCGGTGTGCTGACTTATCACGTGCTCAGCGGTCAAGGAAAAAATAAAGAAGAAAGAAGAAGAAAAAGAAGAAGAAATGTAGAAAAAGAAGAAACCCAATAAGGAAAACATCGTGAGAAAATCTTCGTACTTTCGAAATAATAACAAAAGAAAATAATTAGAACTGCAGAGCAGTCTCTGCTGTTGAACGAATCGGCAGGCTCCTTCGTACGAAGTAAGAAGAGCGGCGTAAAGGGGAAATGTTATACTTCCGCGTTTCGTCTACTGGGGTGAGGTGATCGGGCCCACTTTATTCAATTACAGACTATTTAAGTTAAGCATTGTGGTCTGTACGGAGATGGTAAACGTGGGACATTTAAGGCATGTTTCTATAATACAATATAAATAAATATACTCCTTTAAAAAAATGGGTCAGATTCGAATAAAAGCAACATTTAACACTTATTTTTTTTTATTTTTATGTGAAAAGTTGCCAAACGAAAAGACGGTTCACCTGATGTTAAGTGAATACCGCCGTCCATGGACATCTGCTACAACTGAGGGTTTGCAGATGCGTTGACAACCTTTTTGGAAATTGGGCTCCAGCTACCTCACTCACCAGACGAAACGCGAAAGTATTTGTCATATTTCCACTTTACGCCGGTCTTCTGTGAGGCCGTGGTACTTACCCGGACGAGCCTGCCCATTCGTGCAACAGCCGAGGCCGCTGTGTGGCCCTACCACCGTTTATGTTACTTGACTTCTATAACGCTGGAAATCGGGTAACAGCACGATAAACGATCTGATTCTTGCTCAGCGTTCAAATCCCACGGATATTTCTCGACATTACATGGTATTACAGTGCGCACTCCGCCCTTGAGGCATCGTGCCCGTCGACCAAATCAAAATTACACGAAGCAGACTCGTCTTGAGTATAAAGTCTTTAAGAGCGCTTCATTATCAAAATTGCCTCACGGGGGCCGCAATTAGTCTGAAGCGTCTCCGTAAATCTCTAATGGGGCATATGAAATACAGCGCTTCGTTGCGCCCTTTAGCAAAGTCAGTCGTAATTGAATATTAGCATATAGAACTGTATGAGCGAATGGAATGGAGTTTAATTCAACTTTCATTCACATCGATGGGTAAAATAAAATATATACATACGATAAAATACGACAATTTAATATAAATACAATGCAAATAACAAATATTATTCTTGTTTAATGTGAAAAGATGTCAAGCGAGCAGGCGGTTCACATGATGTTAAATGATAACCGCCATCCACGGGTGTCTTTAATACACGAGGCTTAGCAGGCGGCAGAAGTGCGCCCCGGTTACCTCACAGACCCGACGGAACTCGAAAGTATAATACTTCCACTAGACGCTGGTATTCAACGAGACTATCCATCCAATCCCCCTATTCACGCAACAGAAGAAACTGCGAAAGGCCCTACTAAAATTAAGTTACTAAAAGTTTATTATTAATCTTAGTCTGCCCTATGAAAATAACATCTTATCATTGATTGTAAAAAGATTCCGGTCTGAACCCTAACAAAATACGAATCATTTTTAATTTTATAATTCACATCATATAAATAATAACGAAAATCTAAATTAAAATTTTACTTTAAAGTAACTATGACGATTTTGAACTAACACTTATGACGTTTCACACACACAGACCTGTCTTCCTAACATATTCGTACATAAAAAAATAGTAGCTAATATGATTGAGAAAACGTCGAATAATACTAATAAACGTGGCAGATACAGGAACCGCTATTCTATAAGACATTGCCAAACGCGCTAGCGGTTCACCTGATGTTAAGTGATAACCGCCGGCCATTGACGCCTAAAACATAAAGTGTGCCTGCGTCACCACTCACCAGACGAAACGTAGAACTATAACACTTCCACTTCACGCCGGTCTTCTGTGAGGTCATGGCACCCGAACGGGCCTGCACATTCGTGCAACAGCGAAGACTTGCGTGGCACTACCGCACTTAAACCAAAAACGCTGTACCAAGTTAAACATATTACGTTCATCTAGTTCTGTACGCGTCCTTCGTTCGATGCATAACAACGGTGCAATATAATTGCCAACCGGTACTTAGCAATACGTCACGTCAAGGCGGTCCCGGCAAAATTACACGTGGTCGCCTCTAATCAGAGTACTTTGCGGTAATGGGATAATTTCCCCAGGGATTGAGCGGCCGGCGCATAATGACCCTTAACGCGGGGCTATAAGGTTCTTCGCGCTGACGGATGCCGTGACATGGCATTTGTTGTCTGGTTACAAAGACTCCTACGCAAGAGACAATGCAAGAGACGTGCTGCTAGCGACTTTAAGTACTTCCTAAGGACAGGCAGTCTGTTATATCGTGTGACGCTTTTCGACTGAGTGGAGACACTGTTATTGCTTGAATGGATAAGACCAGGGTAGCATTGGTTTTACCTGCTCTCTGGCTTTAGGCTGTCTATGGCGCCAATTGGTTGTTCGCTATGATGATAAACATGGTGTGAACGTTCTCAGGTTCTCTCACTGAATACAGTACAATCGATTTTAAAAGTAAAAAAAGGCTGCAACGCGCCTCACATTGGGCGTTTCTAATGTGTTTCTAATATATCCTTCAATCATACCTAATTGTTCCAGAATAACTCAACACGCTTTAACATAAGTACCTGGAGGACCGAGCTTTGCTCGGTTGTTTTTTTGGTAAATCATGTATTTTGGAAATAAAAAAAAAAAATAAAGAAAATGATCTGGTATTGAAAAAAGTAAAAAAAATAAGTGTGTAAATGATCGTGATACGAATATATATATATATATATACAAGAATTGCTCGTTTAAAGGATAAGAGATAACATCTAGTAACTATTTTTGTCTTAAAATTAATATAATATTCAATGACTGTTTTAAGTTAACTGCTCGTGGAGTTAGAGCATTTATAATTGTTGCCATTGTTATAAGGCCAGCAATAATTTCTGAATATGAATGCGGAAGAATAATATTTTATATAGACTTTGTTTAACGTTTAGTTTGCGCTAGAAGGTGTTGGTTCTATCCCCATCACCGGGTAAAATATTGTGTGATAAACAAAGTGTTTTCATACATCTATAATATGTACTGTTTATAGACAAAAGAAAAGTTAGTTTAAGTATGTTTATAAGTTACCTAGATAACAGATTAGGTAGCGTTGAGTAAAAATGTCTAGAAATATTATCATTTCTAAATAAGAACTGCTGTTGAACCGCGCTCTCGATAGCTACTCGTTTTGTCATATACTAAGATTTTATTATGCATACAATATTTACAACATCAAAGGTACAATCAAAAGCTGTCTCGACGTATCGATCTTACATTACGTTGGAAAAAAGAAGCAGATGACTGACGCATCTCCTTCAATAAATGGCGTAATAATAAATAGTATAATAGCGATGATCATGTAATTATTACAATAAGTAGCGAAACGATATAGAAGTTGACAGCACCTAGGTTAAACTTAACTGCGACAGCGGTACGTCAAATATTTCAACTGTACCTTTACCTGTACCAAAGACTTCAACGCATTTAAATTATCGAGTATAAAACGCATCTTTATGCGTACAAGGGTACAATTGGATTGAATATTATTATACACACCCTAATGAATTTGGCCATATTTAAAAGCTTTAGCGTTAGCTCATTTTGGAATTACGAACGCGTTAAAAAATAAAATGTACAAAATGGCTTTTGGTGCAGCAATTATTGGCTTCGAGTACCCAGTCTTTTTAATATAATAGTTAATAGCTATTCATTGTATAGTTATATTAATAGTTAATGTACAATATTTTATATAGTAGTAGTAGTAGTATTATAAAGCGTGTTCTTTATGTAAATTATGTCTGGCCAGGAGAGAAAACCTTTCGTGCTACAACTTTGAGTCCTTGACTATTTTGTCTAAATAATTGTTATTTTTTTTATTTATCTTACTCTTTGTATATTTTGTGCACTGTATGTATATTTGGAGAAATAAACGATTATTATTATTATTATATATTGACATAGTCTAACATTAAACATAACAAAAACTTATTTGAACGTGTTAGCAAGTAATTGGATTAGTACTCGTTGCTGGCGCTAGAGGGTGTGAGTTCGATTCCTATTACTGGGAATAGTATTGTGAGATAAACAAAGTGTTTTTATAAATCTATATTTGTTATTCGTAGACAAAAGAAAAGTTTATTTGAGAATGTTTATCAGTTACCTAGATGTTTTGCTCTCGATACCCGATAGCGTTGTGTAAAAATATATCATTTCTAGAAATATTATCATTTCTAAATAATAATAACACGCTATCTAAGTCCGGCATAGATAGATCCATCCCTCGGGGAATAATCTAATCTAAAAGTTTAGAAACTAATAAAATTATTGCGACAATCCTCCTTTAATTCGGCGCATATCACATTTGGCAGTGATAATCATTCCTCGATAAGATTAAGCGTGATTCATCGGAGAGATGTCGTTGAACTTAGCGAAATCGGTTGACAGATGTGTAATAATAAAACATTCACGCATGGCACGCTAAGCAAAGTTACGTTTATAATTCCAACTGTTTTCTATTAATACCTTTACAGACGGCGATGGATGTGGCAGGGCAGATTTGCGATGAGACAGCGGGTTCAATTCTATAGTTTTAGAGTTTTACGTTATTCTATCGTGAAAAGGAACATAGCCATATAGACCACAGTATTGCCCTTTGTATCTGTCTTTTTTGGGTTTGTAAACATCGTCGTGTTCCCGGTAAGAGTTATAAGAAGATCTACGTTATAAATGAATAAACCTATTAATAGCGTAATGGTGGGCCGTTGACAGAACGACGTCGCATTACCGTTTTCTTTCCACAAAATCGCTAATGCTACTGGATTTAATCCCTTATTCATTATTATCATATTTATATTCATGTATAGAGAACATAAACGCAGATTTGAGGAGTTTGTGGCGTTAAGTTTCTTTTATTTGAATTTTCACCAAACCTATTTTAAAAATATATAGGTTATATACCAGTTAGGAGAAATATAGTGTATTAACGCTTGAACGTTTGTTACAACTCCCAGATAGTATTAAATTAGCTGACGATTTAGAATTCGCTACTAGTGTAGAAAACGTAGAGCAATGATAAGATGTAAAGTACAGACGTTTTGGTTACATTTGTAAAAAAAAAAAAAAAAACTAACTACAAACTAAAGTTCCAGATCGTACTTTTATTGACCGCCCATTGATAACATGTCTGCACTTGCTCGTTATTGTGTACAAAACCACAATGTTTGGAAGGGTCTAAGATTTTTACGAGTTGAATCGATCCGCAGTTCGATCTCCGAAAATCGATTGGACAGTATAGCGACGATCCGATGTCCGGAAACATCGAATCGGATCGAGGCATCGCCAATCTCGAGACAGTGAGCGTTGAGTAGCGGAAGCCGCCGCCCGCGCGACGTCCAAAGTCCACCGTCCCGCACGGAAATAGACGTAGAGCGATCGCGTGGGCCGACACTCGGACACTGCGACACGTCGTCGGCATACACGTCATGTGTAGGGCACACAAATCGCGCACCGACTGTAGCCGTGCCTTCCTAGAAGCGGGGATGTTCCATATCCATTCAGCGTATCTAATCAAACGTGTCGCAATCGAAAAATGTCGAGTTTATCGAACGTAAATCGCCCTTTTTGTAGTCAACTTTGAAATTTGGGGAAGACCCCGATGTCACTTGGTACAATCATGTTTTCGACGGTTCGGCGTATTGTTATTGGATATTTTTTCATATCTGTCGGAAAGGATAACTAATCGCTGACACAGAAATATTTACTAGATAAGTATGAAACTGTATGGGTCTGAACAAATCATTTTTTCAAAAATGACTGGATCCGCAGTGGGAAGAATAAAAGAACGTGTATATATATGCATAAAACGTGTTCCATATCCAGATCGAATAAAGCCGAGCGATATTCAATCACTGGCCTATTTCGAACTAGACGTATACGTTTGAAGATTCTTACGTGTTGTCTGTAAAATAAGCTCAAATTGAACAATTGTTTCGATTCCTAAGTGCCAGTGACGTCACAGACGGGCAACGTTTCCAGCACAGGGTAAACAAACTCCTCGAAGCGTCCACCGATCATCCGTGCGTCGCCATTGAACTTCAGACTCTGTTATCGGCGGCTGAAGGTCAATGATAGCTTATCGAGGGTCCTAAAGCGGACTGGCGGCTTGGCCTCTGCTCTCCACGCCGATAACCACAGTGCAGGCTGCTGTACCCGCACTCTTATCGCCAACGCAGCAGATCACAATGGAAAGTTACCGTTGAGTATCTTAGCGTGAAAATGAGGCTTACTTATCAGTTATATATTAACGTTGGGTCAGTACCAGGATTGAAACTGCATACGGACAATTTTCGGAGATCTGTTCTATACACGGGTTATTCACAAGAGCACCTGTCCGATGCAGTAGATAATTGCAATTAGGATGTTTCTCATCATACTCATACCGGCAACTCACGCGGCAACGTGCTGATAATTAAAAATAACTGTTCTAAGAATATTCATGGTTTTCGTCGAAGGGACAATGATTAAAATATACAATTCCTGACAAAACCGTTAGAATTTTTCTAAGACAGGGTATCATTAATATAGTGTGCCGATTGATGTGGGTACCGGGTATTCATCATCCTCATTGATCAGGAAATATCTTGTCACCGTGACATGAGCAGGATTAACGAACTGGCCCGTATAATTTTTTGCTTTCAAAATATGACCCGTTCGTGTCAATAACATAGAAAACTGAAATGCAACCAGGAGAACACCAAACACCAAACAAATTTCCGCTTCAAGCGTACCGTGCACAAATATGTCGATGTTTTAATCTCTAGGCCGTGTAGTGCAAACGATAAAGTACGGTGAACAAAAAAAGTAAAGTAACAGTATGTACATGTCCCACCGCTGGGCAAAGGCCTCCTCTGTACAAATAGTATCAGGGCAGTCCACCACGCGGCCCCACTGCGGATTGGCGTACTTCACATATCTTCGAAACATATTTCTTATTATTTCGCAAATATGCAGTTTCCTCAAAATATTTTCCTTCACGGCTGAGCACTTGACAAGTGTACGATGTACAAAAATAGCTGTTTTGAAAAAAAAATACAATTCTTTATTCAAATAATTCGATTGGCGCAGACGGTTTAATTGCTCCGCAATCAAACTCCATAGCAATTAATAAACGCTAGAGCGCAATGACTCCTTAATTGGCAAGAGGTGGTCGAGGATACACCGTCTATGCAGTCTATCGCATCATAACCTTCTTAGAGTTCTATCATCACTATCTTCTACTTTCTACTGCCCTTATCCCACACTAGGTGGGGTCGGTACAACATGTCCTTTCCTTCCATTTTCCTCTAGCCATCATCTCATTCACACAGTCATCATTCTTCACACAGTCCATCCAAATCTTTCTACCATCACTACCATTCACTATATTGACTCCGTCCTCCCTTTGATTTTCCAAGAAACATAACCTAACCTGATCTTTAGCTGTTATATTAATAAGTGGTTTTTCATCGAGCTTGTCTCTGTGTGTAATCCGTATTTGAATATAACGTTCATAAAACTTTAAATATGGAAATCCGTTACCTTTTGAGTAACCGGTGTGGGTATTTATTTAAATATATATTTTAATTTTAACTTTCACTAACATTTTGTTCACTTCGTTTTAGGCGATATGTGCAAAAACTTGGTGTAGCTCCCATATGGTACCAAAATAATTTAATTCGTATTGAACCTTGGACTTCGAGAGATAAATAAAGGAACTGTTCAAAATCAAATAGAAAATGTATAGTGGCTGAGATTATTTTTTACTTTTGTCGGTTTAGTTGATTTTTTTTATAAAAATATACATTAAAAATATGCTGCACAAATTCACTTTGTAACATTTAATTTTGGTCTCCATCAAAAATCATTTCTACTTTATGTGCCCTTGATAGCTTTCACTTAATAAATATATAAAAATTAATAAATAGATAAATAACGATATTAAGTCAGAAATGATATATAATTACATTACATTTTATATAAAGATATTTTATAGTATCAATAACGTTATGAAAATGAAAATCAACTATACTATGGACAAAACTGACGAGAGATGGCGTGTCTGACATTTATGGAATAGTTATTTTTATTATCTTCAATTTATGTCACCGTTTTAAATGGAGCAAAAATACAAGGATAATCTTACTTGCCTTTTTTTTTTTGTGAGTTATTTTTTTGCAAGCGTTCACTGGACAAAATGTGATATAAAACTTTTTTCTGAGATAAAAAAGATGTAATTAATCTAATTGTACAGTGCGCCAACATACTGACAGCGGTTTTCTGCAAGTTCTGCATGCATTTCCCTACTTCGAATTATATAGTATCAAAGGATATAGTAAATGCCGTCGGCTTAAATATCGCAAAGAAAGGTAAGAACAAAACTCGCAAGAACAGGGCTGTATTCTGAATTCATTTACTCAAAAATATTTAGAAAAAAAACAAAGTTGTCCCGCTGTCTGTGTGTCCCTATGTATGCTTAGATCTTTAAAACTACGTAAAGGATCTTGATGCTGTTTTTTTTACTACATGGATTCAAGAGGAAGGTTTATATGTATAATACATTGCACCAGTGCGAAGCCGGGGCGGGTCGCTAGTTTTACAATAAATGCTTTTGATAAATAAATTGATAAATTAATGAGTGTGTGAAAATTATGATTGCGTGATATTATCAGACATAACATTATACAAACAAAAGGTTATAGTAACAAAAGGTTGTAGTTATAACTTTATGAAGGCCATGTAGTATGTGTTTAGTAATGTCGAAAGAAAACTGAATAAGAAAAAAATCATTGGCCTATACTAACGTTAAGTTATACATAATATGCAGGGAAAAGCAATACCCATATTTATTTGACGTCGGCAATAAATTATGTTGTCTAACTTTAAAAAAAAAAACAAAATATGCATGATTTACTTTTGGCCGTAGTTAGGAAACCTTGAGACGTACTCAAGACGTAGCAGAGGCGACAAAAACTAGAACAAAAAAGAGATCAGCATTAAAACAAAGCTCCATAAATTAACCGATGTTACGACCCTGGAGCCTGGTTACACAACAGCGTGTAACTGTCGAGTTGCGATCGAGTCATTGGTTCGTTGGAAAGAATTGACAAATCTCCATTCAGACGCGTGAACAAATCACCGATAGTCGACGCATTATCGGTAAACAGCCTGATTCCCGCTCCCTAGCAGATGTTCCTATCGCTGCCAGGGTTGTCACCTCGAATTATGGACACATTTCATCCTCCATAAATATAATAATTTTTAAGGTTCCGTATCCAAAGAGTAAAACGGCACCCTATTACTAGTACTCCGCTGTCTGTCCGTCTGTCACTAGGCCGTATCTCATGAACCGTGATAATGGAAATTTTTACAGGATGTATTGCTGTGGCCGCTTTAACAACAAATACTAAAAAACAGACATGACTTTTTGCCATTTTTATGGATAATAGCACGGAAACCTTCGTGCGCGAGTACAATTCGCCGGTTTTTAATATAACAAAGCTGAAGAGTTTGTTTGTTTGAACGCGCTAATCTCTGGAACTACCAGTCGGATTTGAAAAAATCTTTTGCATTTGATAGACCAACTCTTGAGGAAGGTTACAGGGTAATTAACATCACGTTACGAGCTACGGGAGCGAAGCAGAAACGTTTCTCGCCAATGAAATCGCACGGAACAGCCTGTGACATAAATTCAAACCGTAACATGAATTGTGTCGGTTTGAATATTATATAAACAGCAGTATTGTATCGCGCAGACAAAAACATTGCACCCGCAAGAGAATGTTACGGTAAAGGTACACTTGAAAATATCGTTTCGTTTTCGGGCAATACGATCTATGGTGAGGACACATACGAATAACAAACATTCTGTATTCAATATGTTTAGTTTTAGATTAACAATACTGTCTCTTTTCTAGAAATAGATGAGTTTTATTTAATACGTATAACTTGGTAAATAAAAAAAGTAAGAAAGTATGGAACGAGGCAGACATTGAAAGCTTCCGAATATTCCATACGGGACGTGTAGTAAGTAGTAATGGAGTTTTCTACGATAATTGAAAATTAATCGCATCATGAAAGGACAAAGTCGTTTATCCTATAATAGGCAATTCGTGATAAAACACCTCAATGTCGAATTTATGAATTTATTTGTTTCCAATTCCTTTGTTAATCAGAAAGTAGTTAGAGCTAGACCATACCCTATAAAAGCCAGGTTATACAGGTGGTAAACTGATCTACAGGAGAATCACATTCACTATTATTTGATACATCTAAATTGACATGGAGCATAAAGGTAAAAGACTCCTATCCCACGGCTGGGACAAGGCCTCCGATGTACACCGCTAATTAGTAGACTCAAAATATTGTTTACTATTATTTAGTAAAATATGCCTGTTTCCTCACAATATTGTACTTCAGCGAGGCGCACGTAATAAACCAACACTTGAAATTAACAAACACTTAAAATTGTAATAAACAATAACAATGGTGCCGGCGCCGGAACTTGAACTCCACGCGTGGGTCCGCCCTGGTAAATACCACGACCTGACAGAAGACCGTTATACTTCTGCGTTTCGTCTGGTGATTGAAGTAGCCGGGGCCCACTTTATTGAAAGGTGGTAACGCATCTGTAATCCTGCGGGTGTTGCAAATGTCCATGGGCGGCGGTTATCACTTAACATCAGGTGAACCGCCTGCTCGTTTGCCACGTTATCACTTAATATCAGGGTTCACCTAACGAAAATGAAAAAAAATCTATTTTGCAGCACACGTGCTCGAATAGTCACAACATAGATCGACAGCCCTACCCATGTGGGTCACAACAAAACAACCCGACACGCCACATCTTGCTGGACTTTGCTCACCGTAGCTCGACCACGCGATCCGGCAGCACCGGAGCGTGTTATAAAACGGCGTAATAATTAATTCATACATAATAATAACTTACATTTACGCGAACACTTACACATTGCTAAAAGAAACTGGATTTTTTGCGTTAATTTTCATTTTTCTATTTGAATTCCCGGCGTCCATAATCCGACAGAATGTGGCGTTAGACCTGAGCTACCATCAGTTTGAAGTATTTAGTTTGCGTGTAATACGTAATATAAATAATTTCATTTGGTAATTCATACATTTCTCGGTGCAACTGTCATGACTTTCATTATTAATAGTTAAGTAAAATAAATAATATAATATAGTTAGTAGTTATATTACATTTTCCCCGTTTTAATCATCTTTACGTAATATAAGGCACAATAACGTAATTCTTGCGAAATAGTCTAGTTTTTAGGGTTCCGTACTCAAAGGGTAAAACGGGACCCTATTACTAAGACTCCGCTATATGTCTGTCCGTCTGTTACCACGCTGTATGTCATGTACCGTGATATTTCTGTTGTCGCTGTAGCAACAAATACTAAAAAACAGAATAAAAAAAATATTCAAGTGGGGCTCCATGATTTTTCAATAACAGACATGATTTGTGCGGTTTTAATAGATACAGAATGGTACGGAACCCTTCTTGCGCGAGTCAGACTCGCACTTGGCCGGTTTTATTTATGTATTTCAGTGTAATAGCACAGTGACGCGTTTTCATTTTTATTCATCATATTCGCACCTGTTCAAATTCAGTTATTTGTTCAGGTGGAAACATAAAAGCTCAAGAAATCTGTGAAATACATACGTCTTTCGTCTACTATTTAAACAAAATAAAATTGTAAATGAAGCAGTAGTGAAGTGTATACCATGGACGCCTTTTCCCAGCAGTGGGACATATATAGGATGTTACTTTACTTCACTCATCTTCATACATCAAAACAATCAATAATTAACATTTTATAAAATGTATATTCTTATATCTAATAACGTTTATATTCGATAGCTGAATTCAAGTCATTTCAAGTGAAATTGTAACAAGAATACGTGCGTGACAACCGTTCACGTAAACAGGCCCAATCTTTTAATTGATTTAGGTTGTAACACCAATACCCCCCCTAAGAGTTCAGATTGGCTTTTGGAGGCAAGCCGTAAGAAACGCCGACAGCTGATACATTGATGACGACGCGACTGGGGTAGCGGTAGAGTACCTGTCTCCTGCGCCAGAGAGTGTGGGTTCGATCCCCATTAATGGAAAAATATTGTGTGATGAACATAGTGTTTTTCTAGTGCCTGGGTGTTTATATATGTATAATACGTATTTATTTACAAAAGAAAAGTAGTTTTATCAGTTGTCTAGTACCCATAGTGCAAGCGTTGCTTAGTTTGGTGCTAGAGAAAGTTGTGTAAAAATGCGTCCTAAAATATTTGTTTTTATTTATTGAACGATTGGAATACTGCATTCAGTTTCGTGCGAACGTCTTTAACTAAATCGCAGGCTGTCCAATTATATTATAGGTAAGCCGAAGAGAGAGGGGGGAGGGGAAATCAGTCTAAGCGGGGAACCTAATGGCCGGGAATAGACGGGAAGAGCAAAGTGCGCGACCTTGCGCCGGCAGACCCAGTGCCTCGCGCCCCGGCTGCGCTCGAGTGGATAATTCGCCGAGAATCCGGTGCCCGGCACATGCCGCACTCTTGAGGAGGTTGCGAACCGGCAGCTGGTTAGTGCTGCGGTAACCGGGGCCCACTTTACCAAAAAGTGTCAACGCATCGGCAACCCTACGGGTGTTGAAAAAGTCAATGGGCGGCGGTTATCACTTAACATCAAGTGACCCGCCAGCTGGCTTGACACCTTCTCACATAAAAAAGGTGGTTAGGCTGATAGCAAGTGACAGTGGTACCCATAAACCCGATTTACGCTGACCTCTGTGTGATGGTGGGTTCGTTCAGAGGCGAAAAAAGCACCAATACATCGTCATTTAGTTAGAGTGTGGATCATACTGCTTTTTATTAGACCAGGAGATAATTCTCATTAGACCGGGCTAGAAATTGTTTATAGCAATGTAAAGTGACGATTTATCAATTGCTAAAATAGACAAGCAACGGTAACAGCTCCGGGAAACGGGTCGGAGGCCGCATGGCAGTCTATGCCCTAATAACCTCTGTATGGAGGGGGCACTAATTGGATACTTAAAATAATCTTCGTTGAAAAATATACAAGACAATCTCGATTCTTGTATATATTTCAACAAATATTACAAAAGTGAATAATAAAAATAAACCAATTAAGGCAATAGACTTGAGATGAAAGAACGATAAGCACGTAAAAAGAGTCTCGAATGCGGAAGTCAAAATAATAGGCAAATGATGGAAATTTCGATTACAATAAATTTCCACAACACTAGAACGAGAATAAAAAGCAGAGCCTAAAACAACAGTACCGAATTTATGTATTGGTTTTTGTCTTCCATTTAAGACTATTGCTTTAAACATACGGTGATTTATGCTGACTGTGGTACAGTCTCCTCCATGCCCAGGAGATACGTCGCTGATGGAATTAAAAAAATAGTAATTCGCAAACATCGAAATTCGAATCGAATATCGATACATTTATTTTAAATCGGAGGAAAAAAAAGCAAAACATTTTACAGGCAAAAGCAGTTTCTGTTATTCGATAAGTAACATCCCATATTTATTTTGTTTTATATTTTTATGACTAGACAACTAGTCGTGATAAAGTGAGCGACTTTTTCCTGTCCGTAAATTGACGGGTCGGAGTTTCCGTCGCCAAGGGCGCGGCCTTGGCAATCTTCTCTCCTCGAGGGTCCCTAAAGGTCATCAATGTTGTTCCTATACGGATTTCACAGCGATAACATTTTGACATTTTAGTTTAATCTGATATTTCCGCGGTTCAATTTGGACAACGCTGGCGCGTCAGCGAGGCAGCAGTGCAATAAAACCCTGTGAATAATCACGATAATGGAATTATTTCAACACCTTCAGTTCAATTTTAAATTCCAGACGTTTCGAAAAATTTTCCGTAATCCATAATCGAAGTGTAACACCAAATAGGCGGGACAAGCAGATGCATTATTATTTCAGAATCCACTATAAAGGAGCAAGAGTATTTATTGTTAATGGCTATGATGTTATACAAAAAATCCATTGTGCATAATAAAACCAGTGCCTTTAGTTTTATTTACGACACTGGGGATATCTCAGTTTATCTAACCTACATTACAGTTTAAGTTATAACATGCATGTAATTATGTATATTATGTGTCCCAATGCTAAATATTTGTAGTATCTTGTAGATATACACATTTCCTCACAATTTTATTTACTAACTAGTGAAAGTGTTGAAAATATCACCACATAACGAAGCAATGACACTGTGTTACAGTGACATGCAACCATTCCTAGGATTCAATTGTCTTCTGCCCACAATCAACACAAAAGCAGATCGATAGTATGTTGATGTTATACAACACACAAGGGAAGTATGAATTAAAAAAAAAAAACTGTTTATGTGCAAATACACTTACACTAACATACCTTAATAGACGGGTGAGGTAATTGCAAATCAAGCTTCACCAGCACGCCTTTCACTCAAAATATTTTTAACCAGCACTACTTTATCTCAAATTGGTGAACCCTTGTATTTTACACCCAAAATTTTTCCAGTAGTGGGAATCAAAATCAAACAGAGGCAGTTTTGTATTGACTATGCCAATTGGATCTAATGTGTTTGCCACTCAACTGTAATATGACACAGTGCCACAACAAACATATTTTATTGACACTATAAATTTTAATTTATAGTGTTAATAAAATATTCTTATAAATAGGGTATCTATTACTGTAATGAAATAGAATGACTTGGCTGGATTTTGAAATTTTAATTTAATGATATTTTTTATTCCCAGAAAACGGCATTTATAGCTTCAAGTACAAGGGCTAACATTAATGTATAAAATAAACAGTTTTGTAATTGAAATAAATTATAAGTAGTTTTTGTTATCATGGTGAGGTTGGTTATAACCATTTAACATATATTGATTTCATAACAAAAACATGAGCTACTTAAAAAAGTATCAATACTTATTGACAGTTTAATTAGGTTTATTAAATTCATAGAGGCATTTTTTTATGAAAATTTATATCAATGTTACATATACATATGATCAATAATGTGCATTTCCAATAAAAATACAAAAAAATTAACAAAATGTAAAAACTATTATGTGTAGTAAATTTTTAAAAGAACAAAGGACTTTCATAGAAATTTATAGAGCATAAAATGCTTTTCAAACTATTTAAGCAGAAAGTCTTCAGGGGACAAAATAAGGACTGTCGTGTAATACATAAAACTAGAAATACGGAAAGATTTTTTTTTACATTGCAAAGGTTAGTTCAAGCGGTATTTGTGAAAAATCACGGAAAACACAGTAGATCAAACCATTATTAGGAAAATTATACATACCTTTATCCTTTTTGTTGGTTTGCTGTTTAGATATTGTATTACACTTATAAATTACCACTAATTTTCGAAATAAACGGGAAGTAAACACTAGCAGAAGATAAACTTCTGCAAACTGCAAATTCGAACAATCTGTGCAATCAGTGTTGTAACGACTTATTGTGGAACTGTCACTTTATCGATGTATCGACTAAAAGTTTATTTTCTATCAAAGTTTCTTTTATGTATTGTTAATATTGGATTACTTGTATTAAAGTGAATTTGGTATCAAAAATTAAGCCATGAGTAAAATAAGATAAATTAATTTTATTCTTTGGAGTTTTCTTTCACTACCGGAATCGATTTTATATCGAACATGAAGTATGTAGTATGGGCAACCCTAGACATGTTGAATGTTTCGAACTTTTACCTAGGGGTGGGGACATCAACCAATCAGAATAGAGTAAGTCCTCTGAAAAGGTGGCGTGATCTCTACGTCATGCGTTTTACCTATCTAAATACAAAACTACATACATGCGTTTAGATCAATACTTGACGAAATTTTAATGTTGATGTTATATTTCTCGTAAATCAAAGTTAAATAATTAGTTAAACAAAACGAAACCTACAGGTTCTGTTATTTCCCTATAGATGGTAAAGGGTTTAAATTTCTCAAACTTTCTATTATAGCGACACCTTGTTAATCTTATATAACTTAGGTTTTATAGTTTAGAGTACAACCTAATAGATGGCACTTATTTAAGCACGGTATATACACGCATTACTGATGCCGTAAATTAACCTTAACCGACATAATTTACACGAACATAGGCAAATCACAAACCGCTAATTTTGATTTATTTTAAGATACAATTATCTTTCCTATAAAACTGATTTTGAAACTATGAATGAAACTAATTTTATGTGCCATATTACACATGGCTGTAAGGTTTATGTGCCATTTCACTTTTATGTATAAAATATACTAAACAGACAAGAGTTTATATATTTTTAAAATTACATATAAGTTTCAAAATTTTCTGTTAACAATAATGTTTAAGCATTATAGAGAGTTGCAAGATGTAGTATCTTTGATGATTTACTGTACTTCAGATAAATCCTTTCTTATGTTAAAGGAAACCAGTGGGGAATACTGGATACCGTCAATGAAGTCACATAAACATTCTTGGAAAAAAACAGCTTTTAAAATTCTTTCCGAGGTACAAACTAGAAATGGCAAAAACCTTTTATTATTATTTTTGAGTGCGTAGGCCACAGATGATGTGTTTGCCTTAATGAATTTTGATTAAGGTTTTTTCTCTTAATTTAATTGGACTTCACGACTCGAAGAGACAATATAAGATTTTATTAATAAAATTTGTAAAATTTGATTTTTGATATTCAGCCATAATTTTCATTATTCTTGTCGTACTGGTTGCTATCGTTAAACGTTCAGCACTGGATAATCTTTTGATTGTCTACCAGTTGTTTGGCGTAGATAACGCCCCTCAGCTGTCACCGTTGCGCGTTTGCAAGATCTGGTTGCCGAATCATCCATTGCCCTGTGTCTACCATGCCATTTACAAGCTGAAAATCAGGGCCGACGTAAAGAAGCGGATAAAAGTGAAACCAGTTAGTTGACTTTATAACAATGTTTGCAGAATACAACATATTGGGAGAAGCTGGCTTGAGGTGTCAAACCGTTCTGATGTTAATTACTGTACATTTAGAATGCAAGAGGGTCGTAGGTGTGTTAGCAACCATTAAGAGTGTGCACCCCGTTGCCTGACTCACCAGACGAAACGCACTATAATACATCCACTTTGCACCTGGCTGCAGACGTAGTACCCCGGACGAACCACACACACAACAGCAAATGGTCTTACGCGACAACAAAACAGTAAAACGAGAGATGAGCGGTCCGTTTCTCAAATTCATTTCAAATTCAATTATTTTTCCAGAGTCCATCATATCCAGTATTATACATATAAACCTTCCTCTTGAATCACTCTAGTAAAAAAACCGCATCAAGATCCGTTGCGTAGTTTTAAAGATCTAAGCATACATAGGGACAGACAGACAGCGGGACGACTTTGTATTGTACTATGTTCAATATAGAAGCATAAAACTTTCTTATTGGTTGTCAAAAAACATTACTACCGGTTCGGAAAAAATCTACTGACCTGAGAAGAACCGGCGGAAGAAATTCGGTGGGACAATTTTTTTAACATAATTTGCCAAATAAATAAACATGTGTCCGAGTAAGCACCACGACCTCACAAAAGACCAGCCTAAAGTGGAATTATGACAACAAATACTTTCGCGTTTCGTCTGGTGAGTGAGGTAGCCGGAGCCCAATTTTAAAAAGGTTGTCAACGCATCTGTAACCCTCGGGTGTAGCAGATGTCCATGGGCGGCGGTATTCACTTACCATCAGGTTAACCGTCTGCTCGTTTGGCAACTTTTCACATAAAAAATGAATAAATAATAATACTATAATAGCTTTTAATACACAAACGTGCTTTTAATTTAGCAAGCGATGCATTTTTAACGTTTTCTGGGATTTTGTTGTGAAAACGTGTACATTGTCCCATGAAAGATTTACTTATTCAACTAAGTTATGTAACATTCGCAACTTTAAAAATGCCGGGTGGTCCAGAACGTTCGCTACAGACTCCAGTGGTTGTCCGAAAGCGATCTGGAGAGACTGCAATTGCACAGCGCGCTGCGCACTCCGGAGCTGATACTTTTCGCCAAGATGGTCACAACCGACAACATTAATGACGTGGATATTATGGTAAGCGTCTATCTTCTTATTCTTCTACTAAAATTTCTTCTTCTATTTAAATTATTCTCTATTAAATTTCTAAAAAAGGAATTGCGACATCCCTAGTTCGAACTGTCGTTGTAAAACGATATTCGAAATTGTTTCTATACTGGAAAAGATTTAACAATGGATGCGCCAAGCATTGCTTCATATGCTAAAAAACAATGTAGATAAAGGACGTTGATAATTTCGTCGGTGTGACAATCAGGCGTTTAGCTTAGTGGCTAGAGCGTCAGGGCGAATTCCGAAGACGTGGGTTCGATTTCCACAGCGCCGAAAAACTTTTCATACATTTTTTCTACAAATCTGAATTCTTCTATGTCGTTCCCTCACTAATGAGGATTGTGACCATATATGATTTGTCTCCATTCGCTTCTGTCCTGCGCCAGTTCAATAGATTGTTGTAGAGTTTCTCCTGTTGCCTCTACAATACTTTGACTCCATCTTGTTGGGATTCGGCTCTTATAGTGCTTTCCATCTGTCCCACGAACAGCTGCTTCTCCAACTCATGCAGGAGGTAGGGTATAGGAATGCACATGGCAGTTGCACCCTTGATACGTGCCCGGACCCGATTTTATAATCTCTTTTCTTCTTAAATTGTGATTTTTTATTTTTTGATAAAAATGAACAAAAAATTTCAGCTCGGATTCGAAACTGCGTCTTTTGGTTTCACGCCCAAACCCTCTACCAACTAAGCTAAGCAGCCGATGACATCACGTAGCGGAAACGTTTTTACTGTACGATTTTAGTTTTCAGCATCCTTAACTAGTGTATTGTACTTATATGAAATATTGACGAACCCGTTCATTAGGCGTTAAGGCGAAATATATCGTTAATATTTACGATATATTTATATATATTTCTTATATCGTATATCGTGTACATTATACTCAGTACATAGTACTGAGCCTATGACCTGTTAAAGCTATGAAGTTCTTGAGACCAAAAGCGAACCATCTGAAATCTGATGTACAAACATTAATGGTACAAGCTAGCTAGATCGTTTTCAATTTTCGATTCGGCTGGAACTAAAGTTACTTAGAACCATCTTGCATTCAGGTGAAACTGACTCAGCAAAAAGCAATTAGGAAAATGCCTTAAAGAGGAATGAATCCCTTTGGGTGAAAACCTCCCTCGCAGGATATGGAAATCGGGCAACTTATAGAAGTGGATGAGGACAGCGTACTGTTGAGCGCCGGGGACGCCGGCGGGGCGGCAACAGCCAACGCTGGCTCACCGCAGGTCCAACTCCTCGAAGCCGCCAAGTACACGACGGAAGGTAAAAGGACCACATTTTGAATAGTTTTCGCCAGAGATTTCTAGTTCGGTCACAAAACGTATGTAATAAACACATTCATCCCCAAATAGGTACTTCCTTTTGGCGTTAAAGCTTCAAAAAAAACTGAAACTGTTAGTACATTTCTTATGAAACGATCAAAAATCTGTGTCTTATGAAACGATCAAAAATGTTATCCTCTCATATAGCAGGTTAAATCAGCATCATTACAGCTACAACTTCCTCAAACTTAACAGATGCTTATCATGCCTTCCATTTCTTTGATTGAAAGGTCGATTCTTGAAGTATTTGTATAAATGGCTTGTATTGTACTAGTTTTCTATGTTTTTGTTAAAAACGTTTTATACACGTATTCCAAATGCAACTAGCCTGAAGGTTTGCTATAACTTCTCGTGGCACGAACGGCGTTGCAGACCAGCTGCGCTTGTTCCGCGAGTTCGTGACGCTGAGCTTCCCCGCGCTGTACATGAGCCGGCACGTGTTCACGCAGCTGATGCTGGAAGTGGGCTGGCAGGCCGCCACCTGTCCCGACCTGTTCAGGCAAGCGGGCAGTAGACTAAATGTCTAGACTAAACCGTGGCGTTCCGCACAATTAAAAGAAAGGATAAGATAAGAAATGAGAATATTCGGGCAAGCTTGAAAGTGGTACCGAGGACAGCGAAAATAAAGACTAACGCCCGGTTTCTGAAACGCTGGTCACCGCAGAAGTCAACTATTCAGCTGTCAATGGATTTTCATGCTGATAATTAAGAAGATCATTCTGATCAACTCAGAGAGTTTAACAATCCTTTTGGCAAGTCTATTAACATTTGAAAATCTAGGCTTCAGAAACAGGGCGTGATATTTTGACATGGTATGGGCAATTTATGAAGGGGTGAAAGACTGAAGTCATGTGACAAGAAGAGTGATAGTATGGATGTGATTGGAAGGTGTAAATCTTGTATAGGTAGACCGAGAAAGATTTGGATGGACTGTGTGAAGAACGATATGTCTTTGGAAGGGTTGAGTATTTTGATGACGGCTGATAGAGGAAATTGGAAGGCCTGCCTTTCCAGTTTCCTCTATCAGCATGTTGTGTCAACGTCACCTAGTCTGGGATAAGGGCTGGAGTAAGAAGAAGACATTTTCTTATTTTTTTATTATTCTTATTTTTAAAACATTGCCCTTACTTTAGGATAACATTATCCAGTGTCATAAGGACGCTTTACAAACATGAATTTCACACGGACAAACACCCAGATCCGAAACAACTATCAGTGCGTCACACAAATAGTTGTCCCGTGTGAGAATCTAACCCACGACCCCCGACTTAGAAGCCAATACCTTGGCAACTGCGCTACGGAGTCAACAATTTTCTTGCAAGCCGAACTAGTCGAGGGTATATTCTCGAATAGAACAGTGGTAGGTTTCGATGTTGGACGATGAATAAGCGGATCTATGGCAGGGCGGCAGATGTGGGGACTAGAGGCGGGTTGTCCTTCGGTGAAGTGGTGGCATGGTGCGCCGCCACGGAACCGGACACGCAGCATGCCGGTCTACCGGCCGAGATGCGCTGCCGGTACATCTTCAGGTGCCTGCGCTCCCTCCGGCGTAGACTTGTCTTCTCGGTCGGACCGTTCTTTTGAATCTAAGATTACGACGACATTCAGACGTCAAACGTCCCAGTCTCCGTGACTATTAACGCTGGAAAGGGTTCGAAGCGTCGGGAAGTAGAATTAAAATTAATAAATCTGTAAAATTATTCGTTTACTAAGATATTTAGTGCTGTGAACTTTGATTTTGTCTAAAGTAGCGGTGGCCCGGTGGTAAGTCAATCAGCCAAGCAATAGTCTTCGCTGTTGCACGAATGGGCAGGATTGTCCGGGTGAGGACCACGACCTCACAGAAGACCGGCGTAAAGTAGAAGCGTTACACTTTTGCGTTTCGTCTGAGGTTGCCGGGGTCCACTTTATTGAAAGGTGGCAACGCATCTGCAACCCCACGGGCGGCGGTTATAACTCGCTTGCCACCTTCTCACATAAAAAAGACCACCAGCCACCACTCCACCTCTCGCCGCTGGTGGCAGGTACTACGACGGCGACGGTGACCAGCAGCTGCAGGCTACCGAGCTGCAGCGGCTGGTGGCAGACGCGCGCTCGTCCCGACGCCTGCCCGCCGACACGCTCAGCGTACTTCGCGACACCGACCTCTGCTATAAGTCACTCCCATTTTTCATCTCCGTTTCATCTTCGTATTCAGGGCCGGATTTAGGGGAGGCTACAGCACCGGGGCCCCCACAATAGACACTTCGGAAAAAAAATCCAATTCAGACTAGTAAAAAACTTTTCCTTTCATATTGTTTTTTCGTTTTACCTTTACCTACAGTACTTTGCACCAACATGATTACAATAAATATTAACAGAAATCAGTGGAAAATTATTTGTTGCTTCGAGACCTCCAGCCAGACCTCTAAATCCGGCATTGTTTGTATTACTTGTATTTTAAATCTGTACTGAGTGCTGATGTAAAATACCATGAAAAATTGCAACGTTTCTATTGGGTAGACAAATATTTATCTTCGTTGCACTATATCATCATCATTACCCCACGATGAACGGGGAATTGTATAGCTTAACGGAGTGGAGTAAGAGATCTGTGCATATGCTGTTTACAAATTTCTTGCTAGGCTCGTGAACGGTGCAGGCGAAGTAATATTCATCCTTCACAGCTTGCACCCGTAATTGCACCACCAGCCCATAACAGGTGTTGTTTACCTAGCAGAGATGCAGTAATATAAAAGAAGAAGAAGAACTGAAACATAAGTGTTAACCGAAGCAAAAGTATAAAACTTCCACTTCGCGTCGGTCTCTTAGGCCGGGGTATATCCCTCGACGAATCCATTCATGCAACAGCAGAATCTGGTGGCCCTACCACAGTGTTCTCATTCACTGGACGAAACTCGAAGATCCTGAGGCCACGGTCCCTTACACTAGGCAGCTGGGCCTGGGCCCCGGGGTGCCACTGCCACTGGCAGACTTCCTGCGGCTGGTGCGCGAGATGCGCCTCCGCGGCACCAGCTGCCTCCTCCGCGCGCCCACCACCACGCTCGGCTACGTCAAGGACCTGCAGTGAGCGTCCACCCCTGGCAACTTCTGTAACCGTTACTGCAGTGGGTCTGAGGTTCGGTCGGATAAGAACCCCACCTCCAGTGCGTCTGACCTCTCAAATTCTAAGACCCAATTCCTAAGACTCCGCTGTCTGTCTGTCCGTCTGCCACTAGTCTGTATCTCATGAACCGTGATAATTAGAAACAGAGTTGAATTAACAGATGATGTATTTCCTTCGCTTAGGATCTGAGTCTTTTTCATGTTCCGGGTCATCAAGGTTCGGTCAGATAAGCGACTGACCTGCAGTAGGTAACTGCCCTCTCGAAACAGGGTTAGAGTTCGGAGGTCATATTTCTCCTTCGCGGCAGCCAGAGACTCAGATCAAGGGCAAATCAGTTTCTCAAGCTGTCGTCAGTGCCACCTTCGCCACTGCCAAGGTTATGGGGTGTTTTTCGTATTAAAAACCGATCGCTTCTTCGCATTTTCTGAGGTCGCGGATTTAAAACTTTTCTCGCAAATAATGGGGGGGATCCAATCCTTTGACAGTGTGTGGAGATTTTATATGACTCTCTGTCTATAGATCTAACAGAACTTTTTGCGTCAGTACCAGAAGCTACCGAAAGATGCTAATTTCTGCCCCGCCGTCTGTCTATATTTTTGAGGATAGTACTAGTAATTAAAAAAACTAACACTCTTACAAAGTACAAGAAAACAGAACGTCGGAAATTACGACGTTTTGTCTTTCTTCATTCTGTATTTTATTATTCCACTAATTCTAACAGAGAACGGGACTGTATGGACAAGGCACCAGCGCCAGAAAAAGAGCCAGCCAAGAGCGCGACTCAGCTTGGTAAGCATTTAAATATAAGCAACAGTCTAAACCGGTTTGACTACCGAGTAAATTAGATTGTAAAAGAAACATAAAGAACTACGAAAAAGGAAACTATGCTTTCTATTTTACCATCAATATCGGTGAAGTTGATGCCGGTTAACTCACTTACCAGACAAAAAGAAAGATTAATTACACATCCACTTCAGACTGCCCATTCGTGCACGAAAGCTGCTACGTGGCTCTCGAGTAAAGCGGTCTACCCTATACTGGTCCAACGTAGATGGTATAACTTTGACGAGTCATTATACCGTAATGGTTGCTTGGTTTATTGTTCTTCTCGTTCTATTATTATTGACTAAACAATTTGACTAAACAAATAGCCTTCGTCGTTGGACGTTTCTTCCATGGGAACTGTTCAACATGGTATATTATGTATGTAACTAGCTGCTGCCCGCGACTACGTCTGCGTAGAGGGGTGAAAATTTACGGTTGTATGTATTTTTGTATGCTGTATCATAAAAAAATAAAAACAAAAAAAATTGTATAAAAAAAACTTTAGGGATGGACCACCCTTAACATTTTGGGGATGAAAAATAGATGCTGTCCGATATGCACACAAAATTTCACGAAAATCGGTCGAGCCATTTCGGAGCAGTTCAATTACAAACACCGTGACACGAGAATTTTATATATTACATTATTGTTAATCATTATTTACATGGTAATATAAAATAGAATTAACTTTTCTAAGACAGAGTGCACAGAGAAGAGAAGATACGCCATATTGTTAATGTGCTTCTCAATGTGTTAATAGTTTTTATAGTCATAATTGTTAGTTATTTTTACATTTTATAAATTTATATCTTATTTTTTAATAAATACCTAACATAATAGTAGTATTATATCGCTGTATATCGAATTGTCACGAAGCATGAAGGTCAGCAGTCAGCACTGAAAATCAGCGCTATGTTGGGGTTTTGTCTTCCGGCACAGCGTAATGCTGAGCTGTTGACTTAATTTACTAAAAGCGGTAAATTATATAATAAATATTACATAATAGGCCGTACAATATTTTATCTTTTTTTCGTTTAAAATGTCATTTCTTTTTTGTTCGAATTATTTTACAGCAGTTTTACATTTTGAATTATGTATTGATTTTGTTTTGTTTTCTTCTTATTCTTCTTCAGCGTGTGTTCGCCCACCGTTGGGCATAAAGTAACAGCCTATACATGTCCCACTGCTGGGCAAAGGCCTCCTCTATAGAGAGGGTGGTATCAGGGCATAGTCCACCACGCGGCCCCACTGCGGGTTGGCGGACTTCACATATCTTCGAAATATATATTTTTTTGTTATTATTTCGAAAATATGCAGGTTTCCTCATGATGTTTTCCTTCACCGCGGAGCACGTGATAAGTCAGCACTTAAAGTTAAAAACTTCATTGGTGCCGGCACCGGGGATCGAACTCAGGTTGCTCGAGTATATTGAATTAAAGGCGAGCGCCCGGACACTGAGCTATCACGGCTCTACGGCACCATTGGGCATACGCCTCTCCAATTTTCTTCCATTCGGCACGACTTTTCGTTTCAACTTGTCCAGACTGGGCCTAAGGAGACATCCTTAATGTCATCGGACCATCGGGCTGGTGGTCTTCTTACACTTCTGCCTAGCCGGGGTCTCCACTCCAAAACGCGCTTGCTTCTACGTTCCTCTTTTCTTCGGCACTTGTTTTGTTTTTACCATAGTAAAATTTTCATTTCCTTTTTTATTACATTTATTTCTTTGTTGTGTGCGTGTTTTGTTTCTTTTTTTGTTGAATAAATTTATTTTCTTTTTTTCCTTCTTCCTACCACATCAGAGCTGCAACCAGTGAAGGACAGTACGCCACCGGCGGAAGGCGGGTATTGCTTGGCGCGTGGCGTGTTGCAGCTTCAGCGCGGCTGCACACCACAGCTGGTGCCACTCAACGAGCTGGATGGTATGCCCCCCCCCCCCTCTAGCACTTCCCCGTCGGCGTAAGGAGTTGTAAGGACGTTTTTGTATGTAAAACGTCCTTACAACTCCTTACAATTGTTTGTAAAAGGTCAATGTTTTATAAACATAAAAAAATTTCGAATCACATTTGGGCAGAGGAGGCGGTGAGTAGGTCTGCGCTGCAACTGCTGCGCTCCTCGTCCACCTCGCTGCAGCTGCTGGCTCCGAGTTCGCTGGCCTCCGAGGCCCTCAACGCGGTGCGTTTCTTCGCCTCCGAGGTCAACACGCCCAGCCAAGTGAGACCCCCGGACACCTACAAACTCCCGTCGCTGTACCGCGCCCTTTCTTTCGTGGGCATTTCCCTCGAACCTTTTATTGAGAGTCAATCAAATTTTTTGACAATCTGTAAGTGTTTTGGAATATATATCATTTTTAAAAAGTTTATAAGTAAAAAAAAAATGTGAGCCACATATTTTTTTTATCGTTTAGTCGTACAGTCTTGAAGTGCGCAAGACCTGTCCTGCGAAATAAAACATCAAACCGAACGAACGAACTTCGTAAAGGGGTCTGTCTGTATATTCGTTACCAGATCGATGCATCTCACGTTTCTCATCCCTCCAATATCCGTTAGGTACGTAAAGTGCACCATTTCATAAACGTTACACGCTGGCATCGCTGGTGATAGCATCGGTCCGCGTTGGCATTAGCAGCATTCGTCAACGCCAAATATCCACCGTTGAACGAAACCCCCTCGAAAGAGAAGGGCACTTTACTAGCGTCGGTTGACTTATAACGGTGGGCGTGGGCGAACGCGTGGGCAACCGTGGGCGTGGGCGTGCGCAGACGAAGGGCGCGTGGGCGTGGGCTTGCGCGGAGGAGGCGGCGGCGCTGGGCGGCACGCTGCTGCGGCTGGCGGCGGCGCTGCGCCCGCTTTGCGCCAACGAGCCGCGCCTCTTGCGCCTCTCCTCGCCGCTCTACGTCATCGGTGCGGCAAGCCTCACTCTTCCTCTTCCTTCCTCAACAGCGACCTCTGCTGCTTTTTTATGTGTGCTGGCGGTTCACCTGATTTTAAGTGATAACCGCCGTCCGTGAACGTTTGCGACACCCGTAGGGTTGCAGACGCGTTGCCATCTTTTAATAACGTGGGCTCCGGCTACCTCACTCACTAGAAAAAATGCAGAATCATAACACTTCTACTTCACGCCGGTTTTCTGTGAAGTCGTGATAGTTATATGGACGGACCTGCACATTGGTGCAACAGCCAAAGCTGTTGCGTGGCCAAATCTAACAGACAAGGACATAAAGGGAAACAAAAGTCCTATCAATATAAGGCCTCGTTCTGGAGACAGGAGATTTGCGTAGAAACCTAGCGGAAAGAGAAAGAAGAGACCTGTTGATATAAAGTCCCGTTCTTGAGACAGGCGATTCACACGGGAAGCTGACAGAGAAATAAAGAAGAAACCTGTCAATTTACGGTCCCGTTTTATAGGCAGGTGATTTACAAGGGAACCTGACAAAAAAGAGAGAAGAGACCTATTGCTAAAAAGGCCTGTTCTTGAGACACGCGATTCACACAGGTAGAGATTCTCACAGAAAGAGAAAGAAGAGATCCGACAATGTACAGTCTCTCTCCGGCGGCAGGCGATTTACACGGGAACCTGGAGGCCCTGTTGGCGATGGAGGCGGCGCTGTGGCCCAACGGCGGGGCGCTGGCCCCCGCCGGCCTTCTGTTCCTCGGGGACTACGTGGACCGCGGCCCCTGCGGCGCCGAGCTGGTGGCCTTCCTCTTCGCCGCCAAGCTGCAGAGGCCCAACCACCTGCATCTGGTGCGCGGCAACCACGAGACCAGGGACGTGCAGGCCATGTTCACCTTCCTCAGGTGACGCCTTATTTTGACCCCCGCTCTCTACGTCTGCGCCTAATAGATTCTAGAGACTTTATTTACTTAGGTACTAGCTGGTGCCCTGTACACTGTACCTAGAAACATCTTGCGTGTACCGTATATATTCGACCTACGGGTCAAAAGATAATAGTAACTGCCACCGGCGCTGGAGCGGCTGGGCGTGTTACATGAACACCTGTGGATGTAGATTCGATTCGTGCAGAGTCGAAAAATGTTCAACAATTTAATAAGACTAAAATTGATCAAGAATAATTTTGATTAAAATAATTCTCTATTTTAGTCTCGACGTCTCGCTTACTTCAAACTGGGTATTTTTGAACCAAAATCAAAGTCGAGTTTGGACCTAACCAGCGTCAAGTACTTGCCTCACTTTATACGTGCTAAACGTTGCGAAGTGTTGAGCAAGAATAAATGTGTCAATCAAAAGGCGGAAATTGCAGCGAATGCAAAAGCAAGTTCGGCGAAACGGAGGGCGTGAAGATATGGGAGTCGATCAACGACGTGTTCGACGTGTTGCCTCTGGCCGCCGTCGTGGACGACAAGGTATGCCGTGACCGGCCATTACTACCATTAATATGCATAATAATGCCCATTGGCTCAGTGGGTGTGGGTTAACCTGCCTCTTTCGCCAGAGGGTGTGGATTCGATCCCCAACACTGGAAAAATATTGTGTGATGAACATAGTATTTTCTGTCTGGGTGTTTATATATTTATAATATATATTTATTTAAGTTGAATATTATCAGTTAAAAATTTATCCGTTATCTAGTACCCGTAGTACAAGCGTTGCTTAGTTTGGGACTAGAGTAGAGAAAGTTGTGTAAAAAAAGTCCTAAATATATTTTATTACTAATTACTGGAAGGAAACTTAGATTTCAATGTTTGCCATGTTTGACGTCTTTTAGACATTTAATAACTGCTGTCCAAATGTTTTAGTCGTCCAAATAGATTACTATTTACTAAGACCTTCTTCGTCAGTGCTAACAATCTGCATTTTTGTAGATAAATCATTTTATAAGTTTCAATGAAAACTTTATTCATATATTTCAATGGCAAAGGCGACATCGCTCGTTGAAACATTCATTATAAGATAATATTTAAATTGTCGGCCTTACTGTAAAGTAACACAATAACTCAATATTGCTGAAACTGCAAAATGACAAGCAAGTATAATTTTAAACAAAAAATTTAACCGACTTCAATCAGAAAATTAAAAACATTGATAATACCTATAACATTAAATGATGGCCTTCAATTTCTCTGGGATTCCATCATCAGATCCGGGTTTCCTTATCATGGTACCACCCTTGGGGTATCTCCTTTCCGATAAAAAAGAATCATCAAAATATACGAGGAAGTTATACGCGAACACACATAAAAATATATATACGAATTGAGAAGTCGGTTAAAAATTTATACATTACAATAATAATAATAATATTTGTTTATTCACTCAACTAATTTTACATAATAACTAACACTATTTAAAAGTAGCATCAATTACATTGAAAGGTAAACGTCGGCAGCCATACTAGTATAAACTGTGTCACGGCTGCCTGCGTCTCCCACTCAGAGAATACATTAATTTAACCTTATAAGTAAAATTTAAACATTTTTGGCAACAATATTTAAAACCTTTGCAAACAAAACTAAAAATTAAAAACATGCAGGTAGATACAAAACAAAAAGAGAATTGTCAGTGCAAAATTACCACAAGATGTGTTGGGTGTATGGTATAATTATAAGCGGGAAGCGTAACTACATGAGGGAAGTTGGATGTATGTTATGAATAATAGAATGTACGGGTAAGTATAAAAGTTTGTGTGTGTGTATGTGTGTGCAATGTTTTTTAGAAATTGAATGTAAATTAGATATGTTATTTATATTTAACGTTTAACCCGAATAGTATTTTCTATCTCATCAAAATCTAAATTCAGTAACCAATCCCGAGTAGTGAATTTACATTGCTTTATACTTAGTGGATAAATATTAAGAGCTTTATTTACGGCATTTTAGAGATGGGAACTTATAATAAAGTAACTCCTTTTTGCAAAAGTGGTTCTGTGTGCAGGTATTGCGCAGACTGTTCTTATTGCGCTTTTGAGATTGAACGTATGGAAGTCCTCGATGCTTACGAAGTATTGTGTGCATGATAAACAGTTTTCTTACCGTAAGAACTGAGCATTCACGGTACAGTTGTGACGTGCTATACCTTCGCGGTCTTCTGCAGATTAATTTTAGTACTGCCCGCTGAGCTCGCTCCAGGGGAAGCAGTGTACCAATACTAGGGCCACCCCATGAGACAATGCAGTATTGAAGCAAAGATTGGACAAGTGCATAGTAAACACACATAAGTGTGCTGTGATCAGCAGAATTCCTGAGTTTATAAAAGACAGGAATTAATTTTCTAATACGGGCTGTTATAGCTTGAATATGTAATGACCAATTAAGATGATTATCTAGAATCAGGCCAAGGTATTTTAAGCTATTTGTTGGTGATAATTGAGGACAGCTGCAACAGTTGTTTAATCTATCACAAGTGTGAGCCCTTATACAAAAATCAATCGATGGTTGAGTATTGGCCCGTGGGGTGAATGTTATGTACTTGGTCTTTCCTAAATTTTGTGTAAGCAAATTGTCGTCCAAATAATAATTATAATAATAATAACATATTAACCCAACCAGACGAGAAAACAAAGAAATATCCCCAACATAAAATATCTTTATTCACATAGACGCTTGCGCGTTCTTATGAAACGTCAAAATTTTACAAGAAATTAACACGTTCGTAAGTTACCACCGGTTCGGAAAGCAGTTTCTGTTGAGAAGAAACCAGCAAGAAACTCAACAGTTGCTCTTTTTTTTTAAAAAAATCAGTTTACAATATAATAGTACAAGTACAATAGTCTTGTTTTAGCCTACGTGAGTATCAACAGTATTAACCCCACACATTGGCGTCGTCAAGATATTCGGCAATAGTATAATAGGCTTTAGCCATAAGTTTACTTTTTAGCCAGTGGCAGACTTAATTACTTTTGCCCCATGAACGACCTGTTTTTTTTGTTAAAGTTTGTCCTTATTTCTAGTATTTAGTGTCACTATTCTTTTGATAATTATTAATAGACAATAAATATGAGACGACTGTGGGATTTTATTCCGGGCTATAAATGCTCGACAGCTCTTTTTTGAATAATAAATATTGAATTTATATCAGATGCACTACCCCCATTACTTTTTGTCTGATAGCTGCCTAACTTTCCTAATTGCAAAAACAGCGGAGCTTAACCTATTCGCAAGAGATGATAGATGGGGACTCCATTGGAGCTTTGAATCTACTGTGATTCCCAAGAATACAGCGAACTCAACAGGATTAAGGGTTACGCTATTCAATTTTAAGCTAAAACTTTGCCTTCTTACGTTGGGAAGGGCAAAAAGAAGGCATTTAGTTTTTTTAGTATTTAACACCATATTATTAATGGTAAACCAGTGGAGGATACGCGAAAGTGCCCTATTCACGTCGTCATAATTCGATACATTTCGGTCAATCTTAAAAATAAGCGATGTGTCGTCAGCAGACAGTACAACATCTCATAACCTCACTGATGGCATTTTCAGTGAAGTGGCGTACCTGAGCCCAATCCTTACCATGCACAATAAGCGCTGTATCATCTGCATAAGTGATGATTTTGCAATTTGGTAATGAAAGCTTGCACAAGTTGTTAATATATACTAGGAAAAGGGTTGGGCCAAGTACACTTCCCTGTGGTACTCCATAAGTGAGTTTGACATCCAGACTTTGGTATTGACCTAATTTTACACATTGCGAGCGATTTGAGAGATAATCACGAAATATATCCAAGACGATTCCACGTATACCAATTGATTCCAGTTTTTTCGATAGTAATGGAGACAGTATCAAATGCCTTTGATAAATCCAGAAAAACTCCAACAACTTTGTGACCAACATCAAGGTGCATAACAATAGTCTCAGCTAGATTCAAAGTTGCATCATCAGTGGATTTGCCTTTTAAAAATCCATACTGATTTTCTGCTATTTCATTTGTCTTTTCTAAATATTTAACGAGTCTGGAATTTAAAAGCTATTCCAAAATTTTTGATAGTATAGTCAGCACCGAGATAGGTCTGTAGTTACCTATCATATCTTTATTTCCACTTTTAAAGATGGGATGTACTAAAGCTCTTTTGAGGATGTGTGGGAAAATTCCTGAAGTGAAGCATTGATTAAACAAGTGGGTTAAAGGTGGAATAAGACTACTCCTCGCGCTCTTAAAAACTTGAGTAGGAATGTTGTCTAAACCTGCAGCACAATTGTTTTTAAGTGTCATAATGGTATTCTCAACTTCAATATAATCCACTTCAAGTAAAGCCATCGAATCTCTTTGTGACTCAATATGAGTGATGTTGTCACAAGTAGCCAAAACATTACCTCTTCTGGTTTGTATTTCATCCGCAAGGGACTGAGCTATCTTTGCAAAGAATTCATTTATTAGGTTTACTGATTCATGCGGGTCTTCGGCGATGTTTAACAATTCAGTGGGGGGTGGAATTGGTTTCTTTAGACTAGCGACTTTATTGATTGTGTTCCACATCTCTTTCGGATTATTTTTATTCTTTTTGAATTCATTTTGTTCATACTCAGTTTTTAGTTTTTTTTAAAGATTATTACAGAAGTTACGATATCTAGTATAGGTTAGTTGTAATATGGCGTTGTTAGGATCATGTTTAGCTTTTTTATGTAACCTGTCACGATTTCTGATGCATCGTACAAGACCCGGTGTTATCCAGGGCTTAATAGCTCGTCTTCGATGCGGAACGTGGATCATTGATGAGTGGTAAGAAATTGCTTTAGATATTATATCAATCAGAGAAATTGCTGCCAGATTTGCGTTCGCAGCATGATATACAGGGTTAAGGTCTGTAACAGATAATTCATGGACTAAATTTGGGTAATCGATTTTCCTAATGGTGGCTTTGGCTTGATTTCTTAGGATTTTACCCTCTAACACAAATATAATCGGAGCATGATCAGTTATGAGTGAGTCGAGGATAAAGGTTTTAGAGCATCGATTTGATCTTAGCATGACGTGATCAAGACAGCTATTTAAGCGTGTCGGAATAACGTGCGTTGGCATTAGACCATAGGATGCCAATAGGTCAATATAGCTGTTACGATTTGGATCAGAGCTATTAGAAGCTATGTCTATATTTATATCTCCGATTAGGATAATTGATTTAACAGATGCTAATGAGTTCAAGCAATTTTCAAGACTATTACAAAAGTTGCCAATGTTGTTTTATGATGGTGATCTGTACACAGCTATAATTGCAATTTCATCCCCAAATCTTAAAATAAGACTATTAGAGTCATTTAATTCTGTCACCAGTAGAGTTCTATGCTGAATTTCGGACTTAACAAAAATTACAACTCCATCGTTCTGATTGTGGTAGCACGAGGTATATGATGTATGGAATTTCTGGAACACTTAACAATTTACTCAACCAACATTCAGTTAAGACCAGGACATCGCATTGGAAAAAGATTCTCTCTAGTAAAACAGTAAAAGCGTCAAAGTTACATGATACACTCCGTATATTTGTGTGCATAACTGAAATAGATCCTTGTAACGTAGCTATGTGATTAATAAGAGATTCGGGACTACACACCATACTTTGAGATAATTCAAGAAGATCAATATCATCAAAGATATCCGTTATTGGGTCTAGTTTTAGATATTCTAGAAATCAGTGGTGTTGAACCGACTGCGTAATAGTTCCCCCTTTTAAGTATGAATGTTTCTGAAACAATTAAAGATAGTATGAATGCCGTATCTAATCTACATTTGTATGATGTGAGTGTGGTAACGTTGTTCACAAAGAGTATTAATTGTATAAACGAATAATAATAATAGTAAATAAAAAAATATTAACGTACTTAAAATAAAATAAAAAAGTATTTTCAAATATGATAAATTATTACCAAAGAGAACCTGGAACAATAAACTTTTAGAGGCAGATAGTCAGTCTTGAATTTCGGGCAGTTTCTGCAAATCAGTCAACGTGTCAATGCGACGGCATGGAGCACCCTCCTTCTTACGTAGGAATACCTTCCCATGTGCAGTCCAGCAATAAGCGTAGTTGTGGTTTTTACTGAATTCTCTTGCCCTGAAGTAAAGTTTCCTCGCCGACTGAGTGAGACTTTCCGATATAAAAACTGGTTTGGGTTCTCCGTTTAAGTTAAGGTCGCCAGTATTTAGTTTGTTGTCCTTCTTTGATTTGTTGTAATACTTAGCTGAAGTTAACAGATTTTCTTTTAGCATAACTGTTGTGAGATCCACAATAATGGGCTGATTATTTTCTTTTTTTGTTTTGAGGCGAAAGACATCGCGTATCTGTGATTCTTCTACGCAGACATTCAGGGATTTTCCAACTTTTTTTACTAGTTGCACCAGATCTTGCTTTGATTCCTCTTTATGCATAGGGATGTTTCTTATTTCGATGCTAGCTTGCCTTTGCGACCTCTCCAAATTCTCTATCTTTTGTTCAAGACTCTGAATATAGGCTAAATGAGATTTTCTATCTAATTCCATTCTGGCCAATTTGTTTTTCATGTCTTCATATTGCTTTGATATGAAATCCATGGATTGTTTGATGTCAGTTTTTTGTGTCTTAATATCTTGAATGTTCTCCTGTATAGTATCTTGCTGTCTGGTTAAAATTCCAATAGATTTCCTTATTTCCACCATGAAAGAAGCGAGATCATCATCGTGTTGACGTTTACGGGGTCGATTTCTATTTCTATTATTCATATTGGAGTTTTCATTTTCTGTATCAGTAGGTGGAGCAGAACTTGGATTTGCATCAGATTCAAAGACCTGCAGCAAAGATGCTTCCTGTTGTAGAGTAGACGGTGGTGTTCTCTTAAGTGGCATTTTTTTATCTTTTATCGCTTCCGCTTATGAATTAGGGCAAACAACTCTTGCGACATATGTACACGTTGTTGGAGTGACGTCGATGAAGCGCAGCTGGATCGTTATGCCTGTCTACACTGCTGGTACATTGTCGAGTTGTTGAGAATTAGCTTAGGTCAATGACTTAGAGCCTTACCTAAAAAACGAAAGCTCGAAACTCGCGGCGCCGATGACAATAACAAAGAAAATATATTTCGAAGATATATAAAGCTTGCCAATCCGCAGTGGAGTCGCGTGGTGGGCTATGCCCTGATGCTCTCCGTATATAGGAGGCCTTTGCTCAGCAGTGGAACATTATAGGCTGATAGTTTGCCGTGGTTGTTGAGGTGTTCTGTTGCCACGGGGGCATCCCCCCGCCGTGGATCTGCGCGCGCGCGTCGGCCATAGAGCGCGTGCCGGTGCCCCTCCCCCGCCCGGCACACCAGAGCCACCTGGCCTGGGAGCTGCTCTGGAACGACCCCATCGCGTTAGTACCCCACTGCTCTCCGCGGTTGTTTTTTTTACCATATATTTAATTTTGTAGAAAACCAACAGCTTTCACATCATAAAAAAGAAAACAAGATAATAACAAGACTACAACAAAAATAGCAGCCATCTAGTTTACAAGTCGTATTTAATTAATCCTCCGCGAATGGTTTAAACGCATCGAACCCCACAGAAGACCGGCGTAAAGTAGCAGTGTTTTGTCTGGCCAGTTAGGTGGCCGGGGCCCACTTTATCACGAGGTACGGGTGGTCTCTTCTAACGAGGGTATTGGGTGGGGGATTGACGGGCGCCCTGCGGCAGGCCGGAGCGCGTGGGCGCTTCGCTGGCCGCCGAGCTGGCGGCGAACGGGGGCTTCGCCCTGAACGCGCGCCGCGGCACCGGCCACGTGTTCGAGCAGCGCGCGCTCGACCGCTTCCTGCTCGCCAACGGCTTCTCGCACGTGGTGCGCGCCCACCAGCTGCACCGCGACGGCTTCATGGTGCGCCCATCAGTTACCACACCCCGTACAGTCAGCAACTCGTACACGCTCCTACAGCAATCCTATCTATTAACAGGTTTAAGAAATTTATTAAAGAATCATAATGTAAATGAATACATTAACGATAACGACCCCTGGGAATGATGTGATCGCTCCTAAGCTGTTGCTAAAAAGAAATTATGTGCTGTATGACAATGTGATTGCTTGAGAAAAAAAAATAAAAAAAAGACGATACCTACGGAGATTCTTTTGCCTGTTTCTTCTCCGTTAGAGGAACCTCATTACGAAACGTTGGTAGATTCAAAAAATGACTATCGATAAATGAAATTTATATTTCTTATTTCGATGAATAAATGATTTGATTTGATTTGATCCACTTGTCGATAGTCTCAATCTTCCTCTCTCGAGCATGTTTTTTTGCCTGTTTAGAGTGCGGACTGAATGCTCTTCTTGTCTAGTCTCGGGGGCTATGTCCCCTTTACCTACTCGAGCACGTTTTCTCAACCGGCAATCGCCGGACGGTTGTGACTCTTAGGATAGATTTGGTTACTAGATATAATTTTGACGTAAGTATTATGGAGCTAATGTTAAATACCTATCTCTAGTAACCAAATCTATCTGTAGATTGAATATTGAAACCGGCTGTAAGAGTCAATAACCGCAGCTGCGTTATTTAGGCGGTGATCAAACGGGAATCCTATTAACAAGCAGTGAGTATTAAATTACATAGTTTCGAAATCTGATATTTTAAATCGAAATCTGATTCTGGTATGGTTCTCAGAAAAAGCGATACGACCCATCTCTGTACACTAGCAACCCGAGTTCAATTCCCGATGACACCATTCCATTGTTAATTTCAAATGCTGACTTATCACGTGCTCAGCGGCGAAGGAAAACAACGTGAACGCACCTGCATATTTTCGAAATAATCACAAAAAAAATCGAACGTAAGTGAGGTCCGCCAAACCGCAGTGGGGTCGCGTGATGGACTATGCGTAATACGGAGAGTACAGAAGACTTTGCCCAGCAGTGAGATAAATAAAGGGCTTTTTTACTTTTTCTGAACTGTTCGTCGAATCGAGCGGTTGGCTATATGTCGGCAGCCGCTTTACTAACGGCAAAATTTAACGCGATTTCAGTGCCAGCTTCAGGGCAAACTGGTGTCCGTGTTCTCGTCGTCGCGCTACTGCGGCGGGTCGAACGACAGCGGCGCGGTGCTGCTGGCGGCTGGCAAGCTCCGCCTCATACATCTGGTCTCTGACACTAGATAGTGACGTCACAGGCCCCGACCGCAATGCTTAGTGACCTCACCTCACGTCACTAAGTCCCACCGCAACACTGAGTGACCTGACCACGCGTCACTAAGCCCGATTGCAACACCGAGTGACCTCACCTCACATCACTAAGTCTCACCGAAACAATAAATGACCTCACCTCACTAAGTCTGACCGCAACACTGAGTGACCTGACCTCGCGTCACTTAGCCCGATTGCAACACCGAGTGACCTCACCTCACATCACTAAGTCTCACCGAAACAATAAATGACCTCACCTCACTAAGTCTGACCGCAACACTGAGTGACCTGACCTCGCATCACTAAGCCCGATTGCAACACCGAGTGACCTCACCTCACATTACTAAGTCCCACCGAAACACTGAATGACCTCACCTCACTAAGTCTGACCGCAACACTGAGTGACCTGACCTCGCGTCACTAAGCCCGATTGCAACACCGAGTGACCTCACCTGACATCACTAAGTCTCACCGAAACAATAAATGACCTCACCTCACTAAGTCTGACCGCAACACTGAGTGACCTGACCTCGCGTCACTTAGCCCGATTGCAACACCGAGTGACCTCACCTCACATCACTAAGTCTCACCGAAACAATAAATGACCTCACCTCACTAAGTCTGACCGCAACACTGAGTGACCTGACCTCGCATCACTAAGCCCGATTGCAACACCGAGTGACCTCGCCTCACATCACTAAGTCCCACCAAAACACTGAATGACCTCACCTCACTAAGTCTGACCGCAACACTGAGTGACCTGACCTCGCGTCACTTAGCCCGATTGCAACACCGAGTGACCTCACCTCACATCACTAAGTCTCACCGAAACAATAAATGACCTCACCTCACTAAGTCTGACCGCAACACTGAGTGACCTGACCTCGCATCACTAAGCCCGATTGCAACACCGAGTGACCTCGCCTCACATCACTAAGTCACCGAAACAATAAATGACCTCACCTCACTAAGTCTGACCGCAACACTGAGTGACCTGACCTCGCGTCACTAAGCCCGATTGCAACACCGAGTGACCTCACCTCACATCACTAAGTCTCACCGAAACAATAAATGACCTCACCTCACTAAGTCTGACCGCAACACTGAGTGACCTGACCTCGCATCACTAAGCCCGATTGCAACACCGAGTGACCTCACCTCACGTCACTAAATCCCACCGAAACACTGAATGACCTCACCTCACTAAGTCCGACCGGAACACTTAATGACCTCAGGTCACAAGTCCGACCGCAACACTGTGTGACGTCACCAACCTGACACATGACAGAAACATAAATACTTGATCGTCGCGTGACACCAGTTGAACATTAACGCCATTGGGTTTTTCTCTACTTAAAACTCAAACTGTATTATTTTTATAATAACTATATGTCTTATTGAAAGGAAAGCGAGTATAATTTGAATCTATAGGTTCAAATTCTACATCGCAGGGTCGAATCCCAGAAGGATATATATTTGTTTGTTAAAACGTTAAATTTAGTCAACAGTTAAGTATGTAAAACTGAAATATAAGTATAAATAAATCGACACGAAATTGTTGGTATTCTTTTTATTTTATTAATTTTTCCATCGTAAAAAAAGAAAACATCTTAACGAAATGCCGCAATGTTAAATATATTTATTTACATAACCTAAGAGAGAACAGTTCCAGCTTCCAGCAGCCCACCAAACCAGCAACGGCTTTATCGTACAAAATGAGAATATTTTGCGAATGACGAATAAATACAAGCATTAAGTGAATTGGATAACATTTTAACAATCAATAACATGGGGATAGATTAACTTTCGTGAAAGTCTGTGATAAACATTTGTTTACACAATGATGCCAGATTTTTTAAATAGTTTTTTAAAATAAGTAGGCTTATAAAATAAAGTGTTACAATGCAAATCAAAATTGTTCGTTTCACTATTATATTAATTCGGCAAAAATCGTAAGAATAGTTCTCGTTAATTGGTAATTGTTTGATCTGCCATGACTTCGACATTGACTATTAGTCAGGAACGTTAGAATGGTTTTTAATGTACATGTTTACAACATTAGATAGTTTTTACAGTTCCTTGGTAAAATTAATTAAATTTAAGCTAACTTGCTCCTAAATACAAAAATCTCTGATGGAAACAACCAATACAGTAATAAGTTAAATTTGCAAAATAAATTATAATGACCTACTGGGTTATTGGCTCCATGGGTCTAACACGACATTATGATCTGTTTGAATAATATAGGTAATAGTATATTATTATAAGGTGAAGTGATTTTCTCGTTAATTAAAATTTATTTCATAATATACTTCTTTTAGAATGTATTTGGAAGGAAATTTTGTAAGTCTAAAGTGAATGAATAGTGAATGAATTCATAAAGAATACGAAATCATATATTGATGCTATTTATATTAAATGATAAAAGCTCAATTACATATTTGAACTTAGTGATCTAAAATTATTAATTTCTATACATTTAGCAATGTCGCACTAACAAGTGAACAAAATAATTAAACTATTTACATCTTATATATCTATTTCCTGGGAAATACCATTCCTAATAAGTAGAGTAACTTATATCGATAGTTAAAACTGTAAAATATTTGAAATTATTTGGACATCATGGACATAGGGTTTTACTTTTACATTGGCCATATTTGCATGAGATTGGTATAATCTATGAAACTAAATGAATCTTTTAACGTTTACACATTTTAAAATTGTGGCAAAACAATTATAAGATTTCAATTTTACAAATCAATTTGCTTCACTTCTCAAGTGACAAGGTGGAACCATCATATAATTAGTAGGCGTTACGGCTCAAAAATGTTTTAATGTCCCCCTTACTTTACTTAATTTAATTTAAAATAACCAAGTCTATGTATTCTGACAGTTTTACAGGTCTTTTCAACATTTATGCTATTATAATGTAATTAAAACTAATTACTCCTATTAAAAGCCAATACAGAACTCTATTTATGTAATTTTATAACTCGTCAAGAACCTTTATTGGTCTATCTCACTACAAACATTCAAAACAGCCTTTCATTTTTTTCGTATAGGAGACTCATTACTTACGCTAAATTTTTTTCACAAATTTACCCTATCTATACAGTAGATCGATTACATATAATTATGCAGATAATATCATAGTACACATAATTTTTATTCATTTGAATGTTTAATATTCAAAGTGTGGTAAATGCTGAAGCCAACTAAAATGTATAATACACAAAATGGCAATTAGATTGGACTCTACTATTTGTAATTAAGTAATTTAAACCTTACACATTATATTGTCAGCTTTACTTCAGTCTTTTTTTTTGTGAGAGTTGACAAGCATGCGGCTAACTTGATGATAACAGACCCTGGACAATGGAATATTCATTATGGAAATGTAATATTCACTGTAAATGATCGAAATTAGGTATATGGGAAAAATTATTTTCATTTAATTCACGAACTCTTTAATATCACATAACAGCTATGAAGACACAATCTTTATAGACCAGTCACGTTAATTAAATAATTAATAATAGTTTCAACATGTACCACACTACTAAATAATTATTTGTGTTGCAGAGGAAGTCGAATATCGTAGACAACATATTTTCGTGAAGGGTAGTGGTTCATTGCATATGCTTTTTCATCTAAATTATTATAAATTCACAGATTAGTTTACACCAAGCTCATAGTGTCAAAACCCGCGATATGAGCCTTTTAGGTATGACACAAGGTGAGGCAGTGGGCCAACATTCTCTTATTTCAGGTCATTTTGGGCCAGAGCTTGTGTTATAAAAATATATTGTATAAGACATACTTCTTGTAAGAAGAATGGAAATTGTTTGAGTGATATGTTATTTATTTTTTAAATCGAAACAATAGTGCAAGCAAGTAGTCATAAGGTATCAGATCAAGAAAAACTTTAAATTGTAATGCAATTATTATTTTACATGCTACAGTTTCCAACAATGGTATTAAAAGCTCACCTTTAGCTAACCTAATAACCTAAACCTTAAGTATATTAGGGATTTTAATCTTCAGCACATAAATTAGTATTCACAATGTGGCTCAGAAACGGAATTGTTCATACATCACATCATCACAGTGTCTCTATAGCAACAGTTTCCCTTGTAGTATCTCGAGGGCTGCTTTTCTCCGCAGATAGGGCATGTGCGTCTGCGAAAAGGTGTATGGTGCGTTCCTGCATGAGAACTCTGCGAAAGTGCAGGCGAACATGCCGCAATCGCTACCGTTCATCTGCTGAGGGATGTCCTGTGGCCAAATTAAATACAAAATTAATTAACAGGAATGGCCATTGCTTTTGCCATTTCATGAAAATGTTTCTGTAATGTGATTGATAGTTCTGTACTGTGATAACTCAATGTCGATAAACTCGCTTTTAATTCAATATACATATAAAATTGTCATCATATAAAACAGTAACATTGTTAATTTTGAGTTCAATATTATCAAGTGTTCAGCGGTGAAGGAAAAGATCGTGAAGAAAGCTGCATATTTTCAAAGTAATGTCAAAAAAAAAATTCAAGATAATTATGTGAACATCGCCAATCCTCAGTGGGGTAGCAGTAGACTTTGGCCTATAGCCGTCTGTACATTGTACCTTTGCCCAGGAGTGCGCTTTTTAATTTGTTATTTTATTAAAATATTTATTGATTTTGGATTTGTTTTCAGTTCTAAGGCTTGAATGATGATAAATGAAGAGGTTGGTCACGAGTTTTGTAAAAATGCTAATGTTTTCTTATGAGGACATCAGATGGTTTGCATATGAAACTCAGCCTTAGCACACTAAAATAAATCAGAGAATGTGAATGTACATCATATGTTGTTGTAATAAAGTTATCACCTTCAAGTTTTCTGTGCTCCAGCCCTTATCATCAAAGGGCTGTCCTTTTTTGTCTTGGTGCTCGTCCCGCAGATACTGCAGCAGGGCATCGAGGCAGGGCTGGTTGCGTGAGCCCATGCTGTCTAGGTAGCTTATACGTTTTGAACGGAAGTCTATTAAGCTCAGACACCAATGCACTCCCAAATGTACAGGAACTATCATGAGGTCATGCGCAAAGATGTCCACCTGAAAGCATAAGCTTGATCGTAATATTTGTGGCTGGTGCACATTTATAATACTGAATGTTGGTTGATTAAATGGATGCAAACTAAACAATTTCACCTTTCTTGTCCAACGACGCAAGCCAGCTTGTCCACTCTGCTGGAGTCTGGGGTAGAAAAATGTGTTGGTTGCATAAACTTTTGGTAAGTCTGTTCGCTCTTCGCATCGTTGCATCAGAAGGTTCATGTAAAAATTTATAACTTCATCGTTAAGCCAATTCAGGCCGGCCAATGTCTGCAAATCTCGTCTGTCAACAATATAATGATATTAATTAACATGGATTTAATATGGCTTATGTATACATTGAAAACTGTAGTATAATTTTGTTTAATCTAAAAAGCTCAAGCTAATGTTCTCAAACTTCTTAGGTCTGCGGAAGGACACTAGTCACTGAAGTTAAAATTAATGCCCAGACAGAGTAGCACAGCATATAAAAATAATAGTTATCATATACAAATATATGTGTGGCATTGCTAATAGAATTAAAATTTTTTAGCCTTAGTATTGATTCACTAATGCTTGCTAAAGCACACAATGAATGCTTGTAAGTCATAATTAAATAGGACTGTGCGTTTATGCTGCACAAGGTTCTTTTTATATAGTTTGCATATTGAATAAGAGAATATAAATTTTTTGAACCTGAAGCAAGCTGAAATTACTATTATTCTTAAAATCAAATTACTAATACCATATTGTAGAATGAATACAAAATGTGGCTTTATAAGGTAATGTGTGAATAAAGAATGTTTCTTTATTCATACATTACCTTACCATACATTCATACATTTTGACCTCACCTGTGTATCCTTAAATTGAATTTCTCCACCAATAATTGACCAGGAGGTCCTGGCCCTAAAGCCCTATTGACTAGTTTCTCTTGCTCCAAGGTTAGCTTAGGCAATTCGACAGTTGGCTGGGCTTCTTCAATTAGGCTTTCAGGAATACTCAATTCATATTTAAGCTTATGTTCTAAATGTGCTAATTTTTGTTCATAATTAACTTTAGATATGATGTCAGACTCTAAACGAGCATCTTTCAATTTCTCGTTAGTATCCTGCCTTTTCTTTTTATACTTACTATTTAATTTTGCGAGCCAGTCATCAGCTATGACTGCTTTATCTTTAAATGAATCTCTTAATGTATTTATTGGATCAATTCTTATAGAGGATGATGTTGAACATTCCGATGGAACAAGTTCTACTTCTGAATCTGATGAATTTATTGAAGCTACAGTAATTGGATCATATTCTGTAGTTGTTTCACTTTCTTTTTCAGCACTGAGCCCTTTTTCAACTAGTTTAATTTCATTTAGTGCATTCTTCTGTGTCCTCTGCGTCATTCGGAATGATGCTGCATCTTCTGCTAAGTTTATGATGTTAATTGGTTTACTAAATGAAGCAGGTTGAGTCTGACCTGATACCCTCTTGATTAATTCTTGATAGCTTTTCTTCTCATCCAAATTGAATACATCAGACAAAGTCATTCTGCCATTGCCATTGAGATTTAAAAACCTGCTTTTCTTAGGAGAAAGGTTTGACTTTTGTCCCTGCATCCATTTAGGCATGGAGGTGGGACACTTTTTATATGTCTTAGTGATGCCTATAGGTGGTTTAAATCTACTGTATGTTCTCAATGTAGAACTGCTACTTTTATCATTTACTTTTTTAAGCCTATAATACTGTACATCATTTACTTCATCCCTAGACTCGGTTTCATGAGTTTGGGCATAAAAAAATTTTACTGGTTTTACCGATGGAGGTGGAGCTACTTTTTTGACAAATATAACATCTTCATTTTGTTCATTATCATTCTCATTGTCATCATCCAAATTGATGTATACTTGTTTTGTTTTCTCTGGTTTACTTTCAACAAAAGTTATCTGAAATTTATTAAATATGTAGTTTTAAAACAAGCACTAAATACTGAAAAATAAATTATTTATTAGCCACTTTAATATACCTGTTCATCATCATTATCTAATACAGCATGTATCATGGGTCTCCCTGAAGTGTGGACCCTTGATTTCCTTGGTGTAATAGCGCCGTTTTCCGTTACACCAACAAACTTAACAGGAATTGTCCTAACCCTGTTTCCTATTCTATTAGGTGCCTCATTTGGTGTTGACGTACTGGGGTGACCAGATTCAATCTGGATTGGCACATACCGAACATGCTTTGCTTGCTTATCATCCTTATCCCACTCATCTGTAATGCGTTTAAATCGTTATAGGTTATATATTGATAAATACTACATTAAAATTTACAAGTACCACCATTACCGTTCGGTGCCATAATATCTGGAAAACTAGTTCTCTTTAATTGTTTTAGCTTCTTCAAAGCAGGTACATCATCGTCTGAGGAAAAATCATCGTCAGTCCTGTAATTAAATAAACATTGTATTTGCGAACCATGGTATTAATTGTAATATTTTTATCCCTGTACCGACTTCCAAAATTTTGAAGCAACAGTTAATGGTACTTTATACATGTTTCAATACTTTCTAATATGCTCCTTTACAAAATTCTATTACTTTACCGCCATAACGAAATTGTAATGTTGTAAACAAGAAATGTCAAACCCATACCTGTCTCGCTTAAAGCTTGTTCCTTTCGAAGGCTTGTCTTCGCACCATTTAAGGAGACTGCGTACGTAAGACAAAACGGAATTCATTTTATTAGATTATTCTGCCATCACCTTCAAAACCTTTCTCGTTAGTTTTTCATCATCATAAAATCCGAAAACAGAAATCAAGCTAAAGTCGACAGCAGCGGCAGAATCCTACCACAGACTTCAACAAGTATTATAGAGACAAATGTTAACAATAAGATAGATTAGATTTATTACGTCAAAATAACCTACCTTTACGTCAGTATATAAAAATATTAATAAATAATGTTTTTGTATAAGAAAATAAATTTTAAAACAAATACTATTGATAAAAAATTATATAATTCAAACACCTTGAGTGTTTCCTTTAACGAAATTTTCGCAGTGATTCAGTATTTACAAGCATATGGGTATTTTTTAATATCCAAAATAGTTTACGGCTATTTTTAGGGCCATGAATAATATTTAATATATCATTAATTTGACTAACCAAAATGAGTAAAAAAAAAGCAATATGTCAATTAATTAAATGTAAGTTAATATTGTGATGCTTTGTTTAATATTTTAACAAAAGTTATTAAAACTATGTTATATTTTCTTTACCTTAACAAAACGTGAAATTCATTTAAACAATATCTTTGAATATAAAACAGGGCTTTTTTAGGGCTTTTAAAATTGCATTTAGGGTTATTTTCGGGTGTTTCATCTTATTTTAGGGTTATTTTTTTAGTAGTACTATCCCAAATCCCAATAACAAATTGAAATTGACTACTATTGTGATATGACAAATGACAGTTGACTTCTGTTAGATATAAAATTAAAAAAGTTTATCGTCTAATAGCTAGTAGTAGTAGTAGTAGTAGCTATTATTTAAAATGCTGCAACCTGTTATGCATATTTTAAAACAAAAAAATATTGTACTAGCTAGTGGATCACCTAGGCGAAAAGAGCTCATTGAAAATATTGTAAATATTTATGTAACCTAATTTCTTAATACCTATCACACTTTTCAATTAAAATTTAAAAGAACCATACTTTTTGTATGAAATGACATGAATGTATTGCAGGGTATTAAGGTGAGTTTGTGCCCATCACTCTTTGAAGAAAACCTGGATCCCAAAGGTTATAGCAATTTCTCAGAATTCGTTGAAGAAACTGCCCTGCAAAAAGTTCTCGAAGTTGATGATAGGTTAAAGAATCAGGGCCACAAACCCGATGTTGTGATTGGTGCTGATACAATGGTTACATTAGATGGTGAACTATTTGGCAAACCAACATCAGAACAGGAAGCGTTCAATATGTTATCAAGGTAAATTTAGTTCAGTCATATTTACTTTCTTATATTAAGAAAGTTAAGCTGTGCAAAGAGTAAAATAGTCTTTGAATGGATTTAAAGTTGCTTTTTAGATCAGTCATGGCATGAAATTTAAGAAGTAATTTTTATGCATGCATAATAAAAAAAAGTCTATTAAAATACTTAATAAGATTAGACAATGTACATGCTTGTTTCGGTTTCTTCTAGGCTATCAGGCAAAGCTCACACTGTGTATACAGGTGTGGTAGTTAAGTCAAATAAAGAAATAGTTAAGTTCACTGAGAAGACTAAAGTTGTATTTGGTAAAATGGAGGAAGATCAGATTCGAGGCTACATTTCTACAGGAGAACCTATGTAAGCATTCTATTTAATAAATCTTAAAATGAAAATAGCAAAACTAGTCACTGCTGGCATCAATGGATTATATAGATATTGTTAATAGTAATTTCAAGTGCTGACTCATCACATACTCTATGTTGAAGAAATAATTGGGTTAAAACCTGTATATTTTCGGAATAATAGTAAAAAAAATATATTTAAAACATTTTCAAAGTCTGCCTATCCACAGTGGGGTTATATTCTGTTATGCCAAAACCCTCTGAACAGAGGAAAGTTACATAATAAAACATTAGTTACCAAAAGTGAAAAATAAATTAAATAGAAGAGAAATGAATCATTGACAATAATATAGTAAGTCTTGGAGATGGCATTGAGAGCCAAATACTAAATAACAATTGAGATAAAGTGAAAGTTTTATACTTCAATCTTAATTGTACCTTTTTAAATGATTGTTGATCCACTGGACACAATGAACACAAAGGCGTTCGATTGTGTCCAGTGGAGGACGATGTTCGATGTGTTGGTAGAGATGGGTGTTCCTGAACATCTTACCTACCTTATACAGAATCTGTACCTTGATAGCTCGAGCTTCGTGAAATTGGAAAACCAGAAATCTAAGAGCTTCCACCCAGAACGAGGCGTACTTTCGAAATGTGGTGTTGGCGTGGGATGCTCCGTATTCCTTGGACTGCCAGGAGAACCAATGATTCAATACTAAAAGACCTAAACTTCACAAAGCGGCTTTCTTCAATTTGCCGTGAACGGGCCCTCTGCTTTTTTGGACACATTATGCGATCTTCAAGGCACAGTCTAGAACAGCAGATAATTACTGGCCAGATGAACGGGAGACATGCTCAAGGCAGGGCACCGACAAGATGGGCCGACGTAGTGAAGAACGCGGTGGGCGGCAGCATGCAACGCGCGGTTCACACCGCCTACGACCGCACGCAGTGGAGGAGAACATCATGTGGTCACGATCCTCAGCATTGAGGGACCGAGCAAGAAGAAGAAGAAGAAATGATTGTCTTTATATGTGCATTATAACCATAAGGCTTATATTTTTTTATATTTTGTTTTTCAGGGATAAAGCTGGTGGCTATGGAATTCAAGGAGTCGGAGGGACATTTGTAGAAAAAGTTGAAGGGGACTATTTCACTGTTGTGGGGTTACCTTTGTATAGGCTCTGTTCTGTCCTGTACAATATGTTTAAAAATGAAACTGATCAAAGCTAGAGAGGATTAATACACATTTAGTAATAAAAACCAGCTTTTGTATAAACTTTAGTCCTTGCAATATGTTACATTTCAATCACCAAACTAGTCAAAGCATTCCTAATGTTAGTTATAATAAGTGCTAAGTACAAAATAATGTATTTACAAAGAAACAAAGTAAATATTTTTACACTGATGAATGAATAATTGATGTTAGTTTAATGTATTTTGAATAAATAATATTTTTTTCATTGGTCATTTTTTACAATTTTTGATTAGCATATGACATTTCTTTTTTTCTTTCATTGCTATTTTGTATTTGAAGAATAGATGGCGCTGTCATATCAAGATACTAGAAACCCATAAAAATTACATACAAAAGCGCTTTTTAGTTGCAATAATGCAAAAAGATTGATGCTTATAAACAATATGTTTCTAGTAGAATACATGGTAAGATATGCAGTCAAACCCGTAGGTAACTTCATAAATGACAGCAATTCCCAGGTTCTGTTCTGTTTTACCCACTAAATTATCTTAGTGACAAACAGAAACCTCTCAGGAAACAGGAATCTCTCGTTCGAATTATTGTTGTAAAACATTATAATTATGAAATTTTTGTCTTGTAAACGGACGTAATGGTTGCGCCAAGCATTGCATAAAATGCGAAAGAACAATATACATAAAATACGTCGAGATTTTGGGTGGGTGCCATTCCGGAATTGCATCCAGACACTTTAACCAGTAGTTAGTAGTTTTAGTCTATTAACAGGTTTAAGAAATTTATTAAAGAAAAACTTTATAAAAAGGGTTATTATAATACAAATGAATATATTAATGACAATAACAAAAAAAAAAAATCAGTTGTATAATATTTTTTTTTTTAAGAAAGACAAATGAATTACAAAAAAGAGGATACCTACGGAGTTTCGCCTGTTCTTCTCCGCTAGAGGAACCTCATTACGAAACGGTGGTAGATTTAAAAAAATATATGACTATCGATAGATGAAATGTAAGTTTCTTATGTCGATGAATAAATGATTTTGATTTGATTTTGAGTAGTGGGTTCGACTCCCATGGCGCCGAAAATATTTTCTTCTTATTTACTCTGCAAATAGATGGATTACAGTAGGTATAAAATTTAAGTAGAATGCATGTATTTTTATTACACTAAATATTAGTTGTAGGTATTTTTTATAAACCGTCTATAAATAAGAAAGGCTACTCATGTCCTTCGGAGTCTCGTTTATTCTGGTTCGATTAGACTGTATTACAGTTGAGGAGCTGTAATTATTAAATAAGTTAGTTACTCGATATATATATATATAGATGGCGCTTTTATCAAATTAAAAGTTTCATTAGACAGCTAACCAAACATCAATTAAAATTTTTAAGCTCAAATAGAGGCTCAATGAAATAATTAATTCCAAACGAAGACTCAATTAGGCATAAAGAATACAGCTCTACTATTGCAAAAGTAAGTGTTGAATGTTTTCCGCATTCCGTAACATGGGTGGTGCGGCAAATATAGCCCTTCCGTCGATTACGGCTGGCTCGCAGGAATTAGGTGCGAAATTTATTCAATTAAAGCGGCAGAAGTACTAGCCAAGATAAGTCATCATTCAATTGAAGCGTCCGTAGCTAACCTACGGTCGCCTTATTCTAGTACCTATACATGCAAGATGTATATCAGACGTACCATCGCTTAAATATATTTTATTCTGTTTTTTTTTAGTATTTTTTTAGTGTTTGTTGTTATAGCGGCAACAAAAATACATCATCTGTGAAAATTTCAACTGTGTGACTATCACGCTTCATGAGATACAGCCTGGTGACAGACGGATAGACAGACAGACAGCGGAGCCTTAGTAATAGAGTCCCTTTTTACCCTTTCGGTAAAAAGTGGCTGGTGGATGTGACCCAAGGATTATCGGTATTGCGATGCGCTGGCCGTTCCCTCTGCGGCTGAAACGTAGTGAGCGGTGGAGCCACAGACCAGGACCGCGGTTTAGGGCCGGTAGACTTGCTGCTTGTTAGCACTGGCTCTCTTGGTTCCCATCACCACCACACACCACCCGGCACATGGGTACGGAACCCAAATAATGCTACTTATGTTATTAGATAGTAGTATGATTTGAAATTAATGATATCCTCAAATCAAAACAGTTTAGCAACATTTGCAACACCCATAGGATTGCAGATGCCTTGCCAGCTTTTAATAAAGTGGGCCCCGGTTACCTCACCAGAAGAAATGCAGAAGTATGACTTCGACGCTCTTCCGTGAAGTTGTGGTACGTACCCGGACGTACCTGCTCATTTGTGCAACAGCCGAAGCTGTTGTGTGACCCTACCACAGCAAGATCTTTTTCCATTATTTTTTTTTTGCATAGGTACCCAATACATGTGGCGCATTTATCGCGATTGCTGATTTCTTAGAAAGTGTATAGAAGTAATTTATCACATATCTCGTTGACAGCTCGATTATTGAACGATTACACGCATATTATAGTTCTATTAATAGTTGTGCTGGTGCTGTGTGTTTTTATTGGTTATTGTTCTTCACTTTTATATGTGCACGTGACTTAAAGAAAGTTATTTCAATATACTTCTGACAGAGACAGTATGACAGATAGAATTGTTGTTTTATTCGTTGCTGTTTGTAGATTGTTTGTGAAAATATATTGACAATTAAATTGAATGTAAATATTACTGGAAATATTTTAAACAACTTCATCTAGTACCTAACTAAGCAAAGCTTGTACTATGGGTAAATATCCATAGTTAAGCAATATTATAATAAACATCCATAGAAATTAGACACATTAGAAAAACGCTGTATTGAGCATATAATATTTTTACAGTACTAGGGATCGAAGAAAAAATATTGTGTGTATATAATCGTCTGTATCACGCTGGAGTCAAGACAAATAAAAATATATGTACTGTAATAAATGGATACACAATATATTATATTTTACTTTCATATATTATTATTATGTATATATATATATATATATATATAATTTATTATTTATATATTATATTTTACATTCACTACCAGCCAAGAAGCGTATATCAATATTATACCGAAATAGCTACACAATGCAATTAACTAAAACTTTTATGTAACTACCAGCGGACCGGACACACATTGTCCTGTAGATATGACTTAAAGCCGCCAACAACTTAGAAATAAAAAAATAAAAAAATCTGAATTTGCCTGAAGACGCATAAAATTTCATTAAAATTGGTCTAGCCGTGAGGAGTTCAGTGACGAACACACGCATAGAAGAAATATATACTACATATTTAAAGATTGAAGAGGAACTGCGTTTCGCTTGTTTTTCTTTAGTCACATCTCAATTTATTTAGACGGAAAGAATTGCAAATGGATCGATTGTTTGAAGCAGTTGAAACCCTATCCAACGAAAGCACTATTCAGGCGCTTTGCCAATCAAGCTTGAGATAATTGCGTGTCTCTTTTGTTTATCTTGAGTAACTTTTTCTGTTTCATTGTAACGTGCTCCAAATGAGCTGTTGTGTTGGCTTCCTCGTTGTTGTCGCAAGGGGGCGTCGTGTGCCGTCGCAGTAGGCACGGAAGAATGTCATGTACAGAAGGAGGAACCCGCTATATCGATATCGATGTTCTAAAGTTTTATAAAATCACGATAAATAACGTTAGCCAAAGATGAATACAACCAAAATACATTTTGAGAAATATAAAAAAACTTGTTCTCTTATGTTACCTACTTCAGTTTACAGGATTTTTGATATTAGTGACAATATCGATAAAAGGTATACTAGAAAAGAATACTAATATTATCTTTAAAATATAGTCATAAAATCAATCAGAGTTTATTTTAAATAAATATGTGAATGATTATTTTATTAATCACTTTTTATTCACCTTTATGTACGGTAAATCGGTAATACTCTGTTATAAGCTAATTTTTGGCGAAGGATGTAACAAGGATTCTACAAATTGAGTGTTATTAAAAAAATATCGATAAAGTCGTGTCACATCGTAAGTGTTGTAATTATGAAATGCTGTGAGATCTCGAGCTGCCACTTATGAGTGTGGAAAAAAAGGCGATTGTGTTTTGTGGGAACGAGATTTGCCACCTGTTGTGGAGCACCGCTATCTAACACGCTAGGTAAGGAAATTTCTTTCACTAGTTTACGATTCGCTCCCAACTGTATTAGTGTTTGCAGGTAATTAACAATAAGATAATTTCTATTAATATTGCCACTCCCAGTATATTAGAATATGTATTTGAAGGTAATTCGCTAATTTGCAATACGATAGTTTCTGTTAATATGGCATTTGTTATTATTATTACTTATATTTCTATTCATTGGTGAAATGTTCTACAGGAAACAGTTATATACTGTAAAGTGCAGTAGAGTCTCGTTAGATGGATTGTTATAAATTTTGGTATAGTTAGAAGTAAGTTCCTCCGTCTTCTACTAGGACTGTATTTCTTCAAGGCGTTTTGTTGCTGCAACGGTACAATAATGTTGAACATAATAAATATAAAAATAAATAAACAGTTTCAGTGAGCCTATAATTAATTTTATTCAGGTACCAGTAAAATAATGTAATGTAATGGATGTTTGGATTGAGCTCCAAAAAAAGCCAATCATCCATAGACAAAATCTTTTACTTCCGAATAGACTTCCGAAAAAAACACATCCCTGTTTTATAATGGAGAGTGGGAAAGAGCGGTGGGAGGGTGTGGGAATCGCGGACAGATGCGCCTCATCGACCGGATCTCCGGCATGTGGCGAGTTTTAGCCAGACAATACGAAAGTAACAGCTTTGCACATTTGTCTTAAGTTGTTATTTGTTATTTCACATTTGTCTCAAGAGTTAGGAACAACAAAGTAAAATGTTGTTCCTAACTCTTTTACTGCGCTTATGATAGTACGGTGGTACCACGACCTCACAGAAAACCGGCGTAAAGTGGAAGTATATTACTTTCGCGTTTCGTCTGGTGAGTGAGGTGGCCGAAGCTCAATTT